GTAGCTATTTCTTGATCATGTTAATAATATGGAGAGTGTTTGTAAATAACTTATTGATTATTATTTTTGAGGTGATGAGTAATATGCATTTTTAATACCAATGTACTGCAATAAACTAATTAAATTTCAGCTTATATACTTAGCTAGTAGGCGCTGGCAATATTCAATTATATGACACCAATTTGAAAGTCATTAATAGTTTTAACAAGGCTATTATAATCTTAATTTTTGAACTGCTTTGACCAGCAATTCCATCATTATCTAGTTAATTTCAATGCCTCTTAAAGCATCCCAATTACATTTACAACTAGTGATTATGGTAGTTCAGTAACCCAACTCCAGTTAATTACAAACTTTCGACGCATCCCCTATTAACTGCCATTGTAAACAAGGAAACTTATTCAGAGAATATTACGAATTGAATATTTTTTTAAATTCAACATCCAGTGCCTCGTTAGTGCGCAAAACTCCATCAGTTTTACCGCGCTTTGTAATGTAAGGAGTACGTATGATAAAGTCGTTTTACATTCTATTTACGTTCATGTTGTAGTAAATCCTGTGCGTGTAGTGCATGCTCTTCCCGCTAGTATGCCTGGAACAGTCGGACGCTGTGTTTGCGTCTGAAGTTGTGACATTACGAGCGGGAATCACACTTAAATGTTGTTTGTGACGTACGAAAACCGTTGACGCAAATCATGTGTGCGGTGGCTTATAATAATATTGAACGTTATTAAATTGTGCAGAAGTTTGACAGTTTGTGAAATCATTTCTATTATTATGATACTACTCAAAGATAAAAACTGGTTATATACTTAAACGTACAACATGTAATCGCTAAACCACAAAAGCTGTGTATAAATTATTCTGTGTCAATTGAGCGTCCTAAATAACGCGTTGTAAAGCTTAAAATGAAATAGAAATATTATATCTTTTTACGACATATCATATTATCTTACATTAAGGTACTATGTATCTAACATATTTATTGTTACATGTTCCTAAAAATAAGGATATATAAAACCCTCATTAACCTGCGGCATCTTTTAATATTCTATATCTCTCAACACTTAAAGTGGTCCCCCTGAAAGCACAATGCCGCCATTGAATAGGTCACTAAACAAATCATAAAAGTTAACTAAATCATAATTATAAACTCCACTGGTTGGACATTGAATGCATTCATCCATTCAATTAGACCTTTGCACTTGAAATGTTATGGTGGTTACGATTTGATTCTCATGGGATAATTTAATATGTTGCGCGTTTGATAATTTGTGATTGTAACATTATTCAAAGTTATGATTTTAATGCAGGAAGATTCATGGTAAATAAAACTTCTGTTACTTCCACTGTCATTGTTTCCGATTAAGTAACTTCTATAAGTATAGACACAAAGCATAAGTGGACTTTAGGGATATTATATATATTTTTAATATAAATATAGGTTTAAAAGTGAAAAATACTTTATAGTTTGCGGCTTACGTTGTCTGAAGTTATAATGAAATTGCAAATCTAACAAGACTAAAAAGGACTCAGTACCCAATATGGAACACAGTCCTCGCTTCTAGCATTATCGCTATAATTCAAACGAAAACGACCCTTAAATCATCTATTATATATGACATAATTTCTCTCGTCTTTAAACGCATGTTGTACACGTGTTTATCGTCCCGTGTGTTTTTTCTATACATTTTATTTGTATGAACAGCTGGTTTTTTTTGTTCCTGTTTATGTGGGTAGTCTCAGTGTTTAGTCTTTTTTTATTTTAATGACGGAAACATAACCCTTTGTATTCTTTAAAGCATAATTTCTATGATATGTTTTAATCAAGTGCTAACTTGCATATATTTTATAATAATTAGAGGTGAAAAAGTGCATTATTTATTAGGTAACTATAAAAAACATTATCAGTGCTAAGTGCAGTCTCAACGTAAATTTACTTTAACGCTAAGCCTTGTTTATTAATACAACTGTAAAAAAACAACTTTTCAAATAAAAAGTACGCGTTACTCATAAAAATAACATTATGTTATGTTGGAAAAGATTAACAATTTTACATAGAAGAAGATTATGAGTCTAATAATTATTAAATCCTTTTTTTTTTTTGTAAAAATGGTATAAATTAATTTCATAAATATGATTAACTATAAAAGTTATTATAAGCTTGATGTTGTTAACGGGTTGTATCATACTATTTAATAAAAAACGATATATTTCGTTTTTTTACTTACTAAACATTTTTAGAAATGTGATTAGAATCACTACTAAAATAATCTATACTCTCACTAATGGTGTAGATAAAATCCACGAAGATTGATTTACAGCTTATATTAGATACATAAATAACAGGAACCCGTTGTAGCAGTTTGTTTTGGCAGCGATGTGGATTAGCGATTTTATTTCTCACTAGACATTAACCAAGCACTGTCTAATGTAATACAGATAAAAAATAAAATGAGGTACTATATTAAAACATACACCAAAGTTGTAGTGAATTAAAGACTAAGTTTTTTAGTGTGTAACAATATTGTATATGGTCAAGATGTAGTGTTTAAAATGCGACGGTTTAATCATGGTGATTTTAAAGAAGTTTATGGTATGTTCCTATTTTTATTATCTAAGTGAATGAGTATCGTAGAGTGTTCAGTTTTATTTTAGTAGGTTAGGGTTTGGTAGGTAATATTTTCAATTAGGTGCCTGCTATAACGTAAACTCATATCAATCGCACATCTCATAAGAATCGTAGTTTGTGATATAATTTGGTGAAATTTGTCATTATTGATATTCAACTAAACGATAATTTAAATGTAATAGTTTTTGTAAGTAATTTATACTTTGTAGTTTGATAAGACAAAATTACTTCATGTCAATAGCATAATTGAGTTAGGTGTTTCTACGTCACTGTCGTAAAAGTACACAATCAGGGTTTGGTATTCATTTTGATTATGACTTATTCGTATGATTTATATTATTTACTTAAAAAATAACAATAAAAATACAAGAGATAACTGGTTGTATTTCGAGGAATTTCCAAAAGATTTTTTTTGTTTCAGGATGACATTTTTGTAATTACCATTTTAGCATTCTAGTGTGTTCAGTTCAGCTGCAAAAACTATTCATTAATGATATGATATTCATTAATCAATGATCGTCTTATCTGAGTAGTGACGCGATGACTTTTTTATTGTCTCAGATGATATCATTCCTGAAAGTTGAGTTTGCTTTATTTAATATAGCACGTCTAGACTGCACAAAGTTGTTACACATATCTGCTATATAACTCATTCATAACTTTTTTTTTCTAGCCTTGCTATTAAAACGACTCTGAATGATGGCATAGAGATGACCAGGACAAGAGTTTTTGGAGGCCATTCATAAATTACGTCACTCTAATTTCATATTTTTATACCCCCTCCCTCCCCTCTATCTTACTGTTTGTTCATACAAAGTCTATTAAATATTTTCTAACATTTCGTGGATAAGGATGGTTTGCCACTTGCAAAGGATTGTGAAATTATATATTGTTTCATAAATCTTTTTTCTTGAGCCATATTTATAGTAACACTTCTTTGTGACGCGAAACAAAGATAAAAAAATACACTTGCCAGTTTGTAATACCTAGTCTAGCCATAAATTCTGTAACAGGCTGTTCACATAAAAAAAAACATTAATTTGAATTTCGAGCAATAGCTGCTACGATAAAAAAATAGACTTCTTTCCCGCCATTATTGTATGTCTTTTGGTTAGAAATTATTTGTTTTTTAAATGGAGTGGGGCAATAAAGAGAATAGGATGCAGTAATTGCACTGTACAAAGTTGGTAAGGAGCCAGTCGACAGTTTTGATACATTGAAAAAGCTAGGGATTAGCCGAATGTTTGTGTATCATACCATACAAAGGTACACTGAAACCATGTCTGTTGATGACCGTGCGAGATCCGGTCGACCGCGGTCTATTCGAACAAAGGCAGTCAAGAACGTTAAGGCAGTCAAGGCCAGAATTCGTCAAATCCCATGAGGAAGCAGAAAATCCTTTCCAGAAAAATGAGGACACTTTCTCGGATCATCAAACAAGACTTAGGTCTAGTGGCTTACCGGATATACACAGAATATACCTTAAATCAGGCAATAAAATAAAAGAGAGTCGAAAGATCAAAACAGCTGTTACTTCGATACGCGGACGAAAAATACAGAAAAATTCTCTTTACCGATGAAAAAAAATTTACAATCGAGGAGCACTACAATAAACAAAATAATCGAGTGTATGCACACAGCTCTAAAGAAGATTCCGAGGTAGTAGCCAAATTTCAGCGAGGCCATCATCCAGCATCCGTCATGGTTTGGTAGGGTGTCTCCTACCAAGGGGTTACAAAACTCCATTGTTGCGAAAAAGGAGTGAAAATTTCAGCCAAATTGTATCAAGATGCCGTGTTAGAAGCGGTAGTTAAACCTCTCAACAACACCTTATTCAAAAATTCCAACAGGATTCAGCCCCGGGTCATAAGGCGCGCTCTACCCAAATTTGGCAAGGGCAAAATGTTCCAGACTTCATAAAGGCTGATGATTGGCCTTCGGCTAGTCGGGAATTAAACATTTGGGACTATAAATTCTGGTGCTATAGGACATGGTCTGCTCTAAGCTTCACTCAAATATTGAGTCGCTCAAGAAATCTTTGGAAGCGGCAGTGACCAAGTTTCCAATCGAAACCGTTCGTAAATCCATAGATGAATGGCCCGGCTCGACCGTTTAAAAGCGTGCGTTGAAGCTAAGGGTGGACTTTTTGAATAACTAGTTAAGTACGTTAACATATCTTTTCCACTTTACATAATCAAATATAAAAAGTAACAGTACTTATGGCTAGGCTAGGTATAATAGCATTGTTGATTTCTAATTTAAAACTTCACAGTGTTGATTTGTCATCATTTAAAAGAAAAATACTTTGAGTTTGGTGTTATTCTGAATATGATAGTATTCTTAGGTTAAATCTGAGTTTTGTCAACAGTTGTCGAGTTTACGCGACGAATTGTCGGGTAGCGAGGACAAATGGAAGCAAAAGCGGAACATAAGCTTCGACCAGAACAGGCATTTAGAGGAAGTTACTAAAGAAAGGTGAGCCCTTGTTTGTTTATTTTTATATGGAAAGTATACTTCAACTAAAATCTGAAAATATCTATCGTTTTTGGCAGTTATCTATTAAATTAGCGCTAAGAAATGGACTCGCTAATCTTCTTATTACAAAAGAGGACTAACAGCCGGTTTCTGAATTGAAGAAAGTACGAAATTTCAACTGATTATTCTTAATAACATAAGTTTTTAAAGTTTTACATGGCAAAAAGTTTAAGTTTTATCAAACTGATATCAACTGGGCATTAAAAAAAATGAAATCAAAAACGAAAACCTGTTTAAGTGACCTTTGAAATGGTTTAAGTACGGTTTGAGACGTGACTTCAAATTCTCAATTCAGAAACCGGGCTTAAAGTTAGTATATTAAAAGAAAGAGAAACCGTCATATTGAGATGATTGAGATGTATGACGTGTATTTTGGTTATTTGATGGTTTATGTCAAAGTTAGTCTTCGATTTATAATAGGATAAAGGTTATTTCAGTCTTAAACTACGTTAAGCAAATAAATGATTTAATATTGAACTTTTGTATGAGTCTTTTATAATGCTTAAAAGCACACTTAGAATGTTGGTTTTTATTACGCATTCGAGATAGAGTTTCCACAACTTCACCGTTTTTTAAAATGGGTGCATTTATTCGTGAGTTTAAAGAATTTTTTTACGTGCAGAGACGGTCTAAAGCGCGTGGCGGTAGGTCTGCACCGTGTGGTGGGTCAGTTGGTGGCATACTGCGCTCACGCAGAGGACGAACTGAACCGCACCGTGCTCGCCAACCTGCTCGCCAGGCTCATACCGGATCACGACGAGTGAGTATACTATCTATATCTTTACATGAGAACCTTTGCAGAGAGGACCGAGTGTCATAAATATTGACCGTCCTCAGAAGTTGGGACGATGCATTAATTTAAACCAATATTACTTGGACGCGTAGTAGCTCGGTGGTGTAGTGGATAAGCGCCGCGGCCCGCGATCGTTGTTGTTAAGCAACTTTCGCAAGGGTCGGTCACGGGATGGGTGACCAAAAAATTATTATCTCGAGCTACTCCGTGCTTCGGAAGGCAGGTTAAGCCGTTTGGCCTGGCTGCATTTGCAGTCGTTAATAACCTCCAATCCGCATTGAGCCAGCGTGGAGGGTCATGGCCCATCCTCCTTAACCATCCATAAGGAAGGTCTGAGCCCCTGCAGTGGGAAGTGAAAGGGCTGATGATGATGACGATGATTCGTTGATAAACACTTTATTCTGAAAACATAAACACTGACTCGCCGTTCATTCGCGTTACATTTTTGCCATCTGTTTATTTTATTGCTAACAATCAACAACTGTCATAGTTTTTCGCAAGATGTCGTTTACGATACAATCAATGTTCTAATTTTTTAATTTCGTAGTAGTAGTTTCTTACATGTAGGTTTGTAAATTATTAAATAGCCTTAATACCTTTTAGAAATACAGAAACATATAGTTGAACGGCATTAGAAATTACTTTTTACAACCCTTTTTTAACATTGCATACTTAAATCAATATCATACTTTTTAATACGCAGTGATCAATGTTAATCTTTTATTTGTACCATATTAATAAAATATAATAAGTAATAATAATCTGTACTGTTTACGAATACAAATACATGAATATGTGCGATCATGGAAATTACGTGTTTTAAATAGTAACATTTCGTAAAATTAATTGCATTCTCAAGTAAATACTACACTTATTAATTACAGTCATCCTCATTTTACAAATATTTCTTGATTAATCAAAGTAAAAAGTATAACTATAATAATAATAGGCTTACATATGGCACTGTTCTCTCATACATTTTCGACTATCTTTACTCTTTTCATACAAACTCGCCGATTTTTATGACTTCTGACAATACTTTCTAACAGTACCTGTGAAATTTGTGTTTTGGCCTTCCGCGGCTTCTATATCCTTCCCCTTTTACGCTTTATATCAGACTTGTCAATTTTGTACTCATGCCAGATTGAATGGACCTGATGATAGTGTCGGTTTAATAATTAAAATCCACCAATCCTCATTGGTTCAGCATGGTGGGCCTCCTCCCTATTCGATTCGATTCGATCTGATTCCATCTATAGGGAAGGCCTATGCCCTAACAGTGGGGACATTAATAGGCTGATGATGGTGATGATTGCGAATGCAGTCCGCGAGCGTTACTTCTCAAATTTTACGTAACCATCGTATATCTCTATTGCATTTATTCAATTTGCGTGCTTTCTTTGATATACCCAATTCTTGAAACGCAGTTTTCTTAGTCTCATTTGTATTGATCCCGACACCCACTCTCCTTTCTATCTTTTATAACCTTCCATAACGCTTTAACCGTTCAAGCCCCCCAGATCTTAACGACATTACGAATTTTTGTTACACTTATTTAATTTGAGCATATTGTTATCAATGTACATGCAATCTACCTGAACAGCCGAAATAAATAAATTTTCGCGTTAATTAGCACTTCAACCGTCCATATATATATTTTAAATAGTATTGTTGAAATATTCAAGTTCACATTTGCTGTAAACGAATTAAAGTCTCGGCGAGGAAAAGCAAACGAAAAAAATACAGATAGAAGGTCGACGAGAATGGTGAATCATATTTTATATTTGAATTTGTGTCTCTAAAGTTCATTCAGAGTAACATCGCAAATAGATATTCGAAAATAACGCTCCCACACGACTGAATCGCGAATGAAACCCAGTGATATTCCCAGGTCCAACGGTGCGTCTCTAAGTGCAAACAGAAGGATACTTTTACTGCGAAATGAAGATTGTGACGAATCGCTGTGCAACTTTAAACAGACCGTTTGCCTGTCAAACATCGTCTCCATCGCTAATTGCACGAGACTTGTTCCATAGTACTGGGGCGTTTATAATAACGAAAGGGCAACTGTTGGAAACCGGCCAGATCAGGGGCCTACTCTAATCTTACTTCGATAATAACGATTTATAACACGAGTTTTATATAAAAACAACTTATGCTAACTATTTTTATAATGTTGTAAATGTAAATAAATGAAGTTGGATTATTAGTTACAACTTTCAGTCTTAACAAATCCCATAAATATAAAATGCAGCTTTAGTTACAGATGAATATTTCACAAGGTTTTCTTTACTTTAAACCTCATTCAAATTTTTAAACTCAAACTAATTCTCTAGCGACGTGCTTATTAAAGAACATAGTTATTTATTTTTTATACATTATGTACATGGTGGTCGGCGCCCTAGATGATATTAATTTCATATAAACCCTCGCAATTATAAATAGCTGCTTTTATTTATTTATAGCGAGTTGCAAACGACGAGTGCAGGTTGGTAATCTTTAGATCCACCTAAAAACCCTGTAAATAACATTTTAAATGGTATTTTTTTTTGTTATTACGCTTATCCAAACGAATTAAATCACTTTTACCTTGGAAATTATTACAAATATCATACCACTACTGCGACAATAATGTTAGCTTCGTTTATTTATTGCCTCAAATAAAGCTTTAAATAATTCGAAAAATATTAAAAAAGAAAACATGTTTTTATATTATCTTGACAGGGTTACTATGTACAAAGTTTCTTTATGGCCTTCCAGTTCTATCGTCAGACTTGATTATATCAGATTAATCAAGTTATTATTTCGGACTGAAGTATATGTTAAAACAAATAATACATAATTACGCAAATTCGGAGGGGTTGTAGTTTCATATATAGGTCCTGTATAATGAAACTACCTAACTAACTTTCAGTTCCATAAACAGATGAGATGCATTGTCGTCTAAGTTATTGTATATGTATTCAAAATTTCTGCCCAATTACAAAGCAGGAAGTGGGTCGAAGGTGATTGGCGAGTTTCCTTAGAACCTTGGGCCTAAACGGTACACTGATTTTATAGATTGAAACATACGATTCCCAAAATATTAAATAGGTCTTCATTACAGGCTATTGAGAATGGTGTAAGGAAAATGTACTTTATGTCGGATGTGCATCGGCATATTATTTTGTCTGTTTGTCTGTGTACGTAGGAAAAGTCAATGAAATAAGAAAATTGTTAGCACCACGTAAATTCTCAAATAACTAATGAATAGAGAGTTTTAACTACCAATAAAACTTACCTATTATTTTTCCTAAAGATATCCGGAATCCATCTTGAGTCAAGCATCATCCTTTTTGTGACGTTTCCGGTCAAAAACACTACCTCCCCTCTTACTTCCGGCGCCTGTGCTGCCATCTAGTTTGCGGGTAGCGAACCAATGACTTTTAGGCACGAACGCTTACCGTCATTATACCTACTCTAGATGCACCAGGTAGAACTTACCTGGATTCCGGATATCTTTAGGAAAAATAATAGGTAAGTTTTATTGGTAGTTAAAACTCTCTATTATTTGTTCCGTTCGATATCCGGAATCCATCTTGAGTGATGTGTTTGTTATCTCCTGGTGAGTGCCATTGGTGACGCTATAATGTGTTGCAGGTATAAAAAGTCAAATGTAGTCTGATGAGAAAAAATAATGCATATTATAAGTATATTATGCTATTACCTACATAGTACATATATTATGCTGTTACATAACAATGCAATTATAATAATTATTCAAGTATTTCGGTAATCTAAGCTAAATAAATATTGGCTTATCTGTTATCGGTCAATATCATTAATTAATTGAATGGAATAATAAAAATGTAAATACATAGATATCGGAATTTTCTTGATTGTCCGATTTATCAGTTTTCGATAGGACTTCCTAAAAATATGTTCTTGGCGCCAGTTTACAGTTTCAGTAATTTATCCATCGGAAACAGTTCCAGTCAATTTAGAGATGGAACTGCAGATGTAATAGACCCTGAAGAATCTTCTACATTATGTGCTTCTATTTAGCATTTTTAAGAACAGAGTAGTTAACTCGTGAAAATTACTTCTTTTTGGGGCTCTTTCAATACAAAAATTGATCGCGTGTCCAATACATGCAATCGAATGATTAGTGTCAGTTTATCATTTCTGTCCCGGCTGTCATAATTACTATTATCTGTTTTTAATACAAAATGGGGCCATAAGACAAAAAATCATTTTCGTCTCTATACTTCAAAGGTTAAAAGGGTTAAATAATGGATTCTGCGACCTTGAAGATTGTGAAATTATGCTAAATTTCTTGCAACTTAAATAGAGTCAATTCTGCCAATTTCTACGTAAAATTTTCAATGTACTATATACCTGAAGTCTAATATTATTTGTGCAATGTCTTCCTAACAATTCAATATTGACAGATATATTTATTATTTTATGATCTAGTAACAAGAATGTGTCATAAAGGGTTGTAGTCAAAGCGCTATTGACCCTCCACCATTACGCCGACATTAGCAGAATTTCCCTACCGGGCACTTGTTATTTGCAGAATTAATACTAGTAGATATTTATAGTCGCTTTACATTAACTCGATAGTTTCAAGATTTTCTTTATTTCATTTTATGCTGCCCGACTTTTAAATAAATTTTCTGAATTTCGGGGGATGAACACCTGTTGCCATACCTATTGCAGTATTTGCGGAAACAAATCGTCAGCCAAGACACTTTGTCCCATTTTGGAACAATCATAATGTACTTACTTGCCTTGACACTTACTGGAGTCGAGAAAGTATTTGCGGAATCATGTTTGAATAAGGCCAGCTTGCATTTGCACTGATGACGTCATGCGTTATGACCTATTAGCTTGCTCGTCCGTCACATCCATTGTCATGAACCTGGGAATGACGTGTGCTTTGGTCGATGGAATAAGTTCACATCTGGTGTACATTGGGCTGCTAGATTTAGTATTCAGGCTATGCATAATTTCTGAATCTGTCTTGTTAGTGTCATAATTACAATAATTTCCTAGATTTGGTCCCCCATCTTTGTTTATGTACGGGAATCAGTACAGTTCTCTTAGCATTTACATCTAGGCATTCCGCGAAATGAAGACTCGCGTGAGTAATTGCCTCGAGTTGAGCACTCGAACAGGATTTCCTATGCACCTGTCCTCGGATGTTGAGCGATTTGCGTTGCATTTATTGGAAGGTACAACAGATACTTACCATTTTAAGTCATTCAGTACTGGTTCTGGTAATCCGAATAGGTAGTAATAATAGGTAGTAATTTAAGCTGTGTTAGTATTGCAGTGTGCGACAGTGTTATCACCCTGTTCGAATCACAAACAAGGCAAAGTCGAGTCTCCCCATTAGGAACTGGGCCTGTCTGAGGGACCAACCGCCTTGTACAATCTGATGCTGAAGTGCCATGCGTAGCGTGAAGCGTTCGGTTCAAACAGGGACTTCACTAAATGTTCAGTACTGAGTCTGGTAGTTTGATTCGGTGGTAATGGTGATGTTTGGGCAACTGTCGATGGTAGTATTGCAGTGTGCGACAGTGTAGTCACCCTCTTAGAATCACAAACGAGGCAAAGTCGAGTCTCCTCATTAGGAACTGGGCCTGTCTGAGGGACTAACCGCCTTGTACAATCTGATGCTGAAATGCCATGCGAAGCGTGAAGCGTTCGGTTCAAACAGTGACTTCGCTGAATGTTCTGTACTGAGTCTTGTAGTCTGATTCGGTGGTAATGGTGATCTTTGGGCAACTGTCGATGGTAGTATTGCAGTGTGCGACAGTGTAATCACCCTCTTCGAATCACAAACGAGGCAAAGTCGAATCTCCCCATTAGGAACTGGGCCTGTCTGAGGGACTAACCGCCACGTGTAGTCGCCTCGTGCTGAAGTGCCATGCGTAGCGTAAGGCACTTCGGTTCCGACAGGGACTTACCCCTGACTTCCCCGGCACTTCCCGGCACCTCGTGACCGTGTTGGTCACGATGCATCAGGCAACGCCGAGGAAGCTCAGAACCAGCACACACTGCTCGAAGTTGAGAGACCACCCTAAGCGCTGCTATTGTGGTAACGCAGTTGTTGTGTTGGTCTAGGCAGCAAAGTTTTTGAGTACCGATGGCAGTTCAAAGAGACACTTCAGTTGCATTAGGTAGGTTGTTGTATGCCAGTCTCAAGAACCTGTGAACCAGATGTTGTTCGGCGATACTCAAATGAAAATACTTTTGGCTCGGATATATTTTCGTAAACCATTCGTTTTGTATGAGAATGTTCGGAATACGAAAATTATTGATCAGTCGAAAAGGTTTTATTTTGACAAATCAGTGTCGTTTTAAATGAAATTGTCGGGCTTTAACATTAGAAGAGGAAATGGATACAAAACAGGGTGGTTTTTGTAATCTCTAGTATATTAATTTGAGCATTGCAAACGATATTTGAAGATGGCTTAAAATCCCACGCATAAAAATATAATTTTTATACCATCACATACCTACATAGTTTAGATACCAAATGATATATTTAAACACTTGTTTTATAGAAATCTGAAACAACGAAGGTAACAACACCCTGTGCATTAACATGACTGAGAGTGGAATGCGGGAGCTCAGAAATGGTGACACCTTGGAACTGGTGAGCCACTCGCCCAAGATCCGACATATGCAATCTGGAACATTCTGATTGTTCCATAAACTTACAGATCGCATTAGATAGCCCCCTCCAATGTGTCATGTCATGCATTGTATTTATTTCTAAAGTTTAATGAACTGGTTTCATTACCATTTAAATATTGGTGTGTACTTCTGGTAATCTACCTTGAATCAACTTGCAGTTGCAACCATTTTAAGCACCCCCTTGTTTTTTGGGTGCAATATACTATTAACAAAGAAGAACTTGTTCGTTCTTCCTATCAGCCAAAAGACGTCCTGAACGAGTGGTGGGGAAAAGTGTTGGACGATTCAAAAGAGAAGTCTATTTGAATAAATATTATTTTGACTTTGACTTTGAACTCTGAATTTGGCAAAAATTTCTGTAAAGACACCTCAGAAAACTTCTCCACGGCTCTGAACACATCAGTGCGTCTGCCACTTAATATTTGGAAAATATAATCCTTGTTGAATGTTAATTAGATTTTATCAAAAAGCATTAAGGTCTTTATCAATAGATCAATCTGCAATTTATTGTAAACTAGTTCTAAACTAATTGATTCATACTTTAATTCTGTTAAGGTATTTGTTAATGCTGTAGATTGTACCATTTCTATAAAATTTAACTATAATGACTTCTATTGACGCAAATAAAGATCTTATCTTAAACCATCAATTGTTGTAGCAGAAACAAATCGCCTCAACTTATAATTTAATTTGAGCATGTTTCATCTAATTTGGTTTCACCATAGACTGGGTCTTTAACGTTATTAAGAAAAAATAATCCTTTTTGAACTTGTGTTGATTGTTTTACTATAGTAGGTACATAAAGAAAATTATCACCAGTCGTAACCGCTGCAAGTAGGAACTGTTCAGGACCGTGGGGTCGTAGGGAACGTGATGGTGGCTGTGGTTGCCATAATTGCGGTCCTGGTATGGATACTATGTGCTATTTTGTTATGGAAAAATGCACAGGTGGATTTAGTTTTCCAGTTTTCTTTGTTTATTTCACTGTCCCGTTGCTCCATCGCGAAGGGAGGTTAATTTTATATTCATTTCATTTTAATTTTAACACTAAACTATATAATAATAAGTATAATTTGTGCACATTTTATGTAGGACCGATGTTTTCGCCACGAAAAACGACGCTATAATGACGGTAAGCGTTCGTGCCTAAAAGTCATTGGTTCGCTACCCGCAAACTAGATGGCAGCACAGGCGCCGGAAGTAAGAGGGGAGGTAGTGTTTTTGACCGGAAACGTCACAAAAAGGATGATGCTTGACTCAAGATGGATTCCGGATATCGAACGGAACAAATAATAGAAAATTTCAAAGAACAATACAACAAATCACAAAAAGCTTGTTAAAACCATGATGGTAACAAAGTATGACATGAGAATTTAATTTGATATATATCAATCAAATTTAGGGGAAAACAAAAGGATCTAAGCATAAAGTAGTTTTCTTAAACAATGCGATATTAATTTTACCAATTAAGATATTTTTATTTCGGCTCTGGATATTTCTGGTGCTGTCATTTGCTTTCGATTTCTATGACGTCAAATCTCTAGCTTTAGGATCAGAGCAACTATAATAAAATATCTAAAAATATCATTTGGATAAATTAGCTTTAGAACTGTAAATTTTAACTGCTTAGAACTATCAAACGTTTCTTACAAGTAAGGACTTTGACAATGCTGAATAAATTTTTCACCCTATGCCCATTTGATAGCAGCGGACCACATGTTTTTAATTAGGAGTAGTGTTTGTGTAATAAAGGCTTGTAGTATAAGGACGTGTAAAGTTAGAATATCGGCTCTGCAACATCTGATAACTTTTAGACAGTGCGAGTCATATGGTCTCGGCTTGGCAACACTTTACATGAAAATGATTTTGGTGGGATATTTATGTCTTTTTAATTGTCACATTTTATTTTCGTCTTTGAACATGAATGAAAAACATCAATCACGATTCATTAAATAGACGTCACACTCTATAAGCCGGTAAATTACTCTGAAGCTGTCAGAAGTAACTTCGTGAGTAATCAGTGCAGACAAGCAGTTTCTCGCTTACATCTATCGATTCTTCGAAGTGCTTGACCACCTGTCGCTAATTGTTTTGCCATTTTAAATCTCTTTTCTATAAAACTGGTAGATATTAAAAATTGCATTAAATTCTTTTGTCAAGCTATACTTGACATATACGATTTCTAACTAGCAAACGTACATATATAAGAGTCTTAGAGGGTATTATTATTCTTTTATCTGTATTTTTGGTAAAAAATAGTTTATAAGTGCCTTAATTAAGTATATAAATAACTATCTTTGTCGTGGAACTGTAGTTATATTTGTAAAACTGCAGCTAGGTATGGTTTTATCTTCCAGGTCGTTCCTATTGGACGTGTCCCGTTCATCCAGTCCTGATGGGTCCGTAGATTTGAATACTAGCGCTGTAACGCGACGCGTCCACTTTGCCCCGGACTTGGAGTTATTGGGCACCGAGACTGCGGCGGAAGCGGACACGGGCGCGCAGGCGGACGAGGCGAGCGTGTTGGCGTTCCTGCAGCAGCAACGAGATCTCAGCGCAGACATTAAGCTGCAGCTGGAGCGATCGCTGCGGAGACTCAGACACGAGGCTACCTCGCTACTAGATCTCTCCGAAAAACTCGCTACCAGTTAGTATTAACTTCATTAAATGTAATGCTCGGACATACGAACTACTTCTTAACTAAATGAGAAAAAATGGTATTGTGTCAATACTAAATATAGCTACGTCGTATCTTCAATTATATAAATTATATCCTATTAATATTATAAATGTGAAAGTTTCTTTGCTTAGATGTTGTTCGGTGCATTGCATTGATACCGAATACCGTCTGTGACGTCATTACAACGCGTCACAGAAACACATATTTTAAATATTTTTCAGTGTAAAATCAAGCGCCGTAGAAATCGGATGCACTCATTAGCATTTATCATTATCAGTTTAAGTTTATATAATTAAAGTGTATTTCAGTACAAAAACTATAATTTAACAATCATTTATATTTATGTTCAAACCCGAACAGATGTTTATCCGTCAATTACGCCGAAACTATTGTATGGATTTTGATGAAATTTGGTATACAGATAAGGTATTAGCTGAGTTAGATAATAGGATACTTTTTATTCCACTAAACATTTTCCTAGAGACCATGCGGGCGAAGCCGCTGGAAAACCTAGTATTATTATATATTTGAAGATGAACTTTGTAAAGTTCAGTGTAAATTCTTATTTTTTTTTTTGTTTTTGTTTGATTGTTTGTAGAACGTCATGAAACCAAAATGTTGGAGTCGAGTCAGGTGGAAATAACAGAAATGGTTCAAGATTTGGACTCAAAACAGATGTCGTGTGATAATTGTGAGCTGCATAGAAAGGTACTTGCAATATTTATTAATTTTTATCCAATTTACCATACATGAATATCATATTTCACACAATAAATAACTTTAATATAGAGAGCAATATTTACCGGTATTAGTCTTAGGGCGGTATTTTCTGCCACAAACTATATAAACTAATCCTTTAGATGTAGTTGTGTCAGAAACTTCAAACCCAATGCTTCAAATCCTTTAACTACTCGTACGAATTGATATGACACCGAAGGCCTTTTTCTTGTCCTAGGGAAAATGCACTACTCACTATCCCTACCGCTTGAAGAGTCGGCATGGTGCCCACTAAACAGAAATGCATTTTTCTATAATTTATGAAGTCCCAAATTATAGGAAATATTAGGAAGAAAATATTATAGGAACGATTCGAAATTTCCGAATTGTAGTTCAGCCTTCAGTTGTCATGTCAATTCGCACAGTTATATATAGTTATATAATCAAGTAATAATTAAATATGGTTGAGAGGGTCAATTCATAAAAAGTATGTGTTTTGTTATCGATAGAACATGGAGGAGGCAATGGCCGAATGTTTACAGCGCGAGAATCTGCTGCGGTCTGATTTGGACGCCGCCATGATGAAGATCGCACATCTCATGACCCTTGGAGATAGACATTCCAGCGACGTCATAGCTGAAGGGTAACAGTATTTTACCTTATTCGACTTCAATAACATAATATCAATAATATGATATTAGATAGATTTCAAATCAATCATAGGTATTGAAGCTTTTTATGTTTATGGAAAGTAAAAATATCGAAAGTTTATCAAAATATGAATATATCGAAACCAGAACAGCAACTAAGAAACTGAAATATTGTTTTAATGTTGACTAAGTTTATTCATTTTAAATACAGTCGTTTAATACAAGCTCATTAGAAATGGATCAGTCACTGCTTAGGTTTTGATCCCTCGATCCGGATGCGAATCACTTTTTTACTACATTTTCATCTTTATATTATTAAGATTACAACTCGATTAAAAAAAATATTGTCATTCTCCAAACATGAAAATGTAATTTTTCCACTGTTTCTACCCGAAAAAAGCATGGAGTGAGTGAGTCAGTAAGTCAGTCAGTGGTAATTAAGCTTTATATATTATAGATTAAAAAACGATTGCAGATTATGATTATAATACATTTATTTGTTTATTAAGAATTGTTACATAACAGACAAAATAATATAATCGAAGAGAATTCTTAATGTCAAAAATCGTTGCAAAAGATTAATTTCCATCGACGTCGACTCAATGATTGCTGCTGAAATGGGGCGAAAATAGCGATGGTTACTCCGTACTATAAAGTATCGTATCCCGCAGATATGGTACGGGATGCGGGGCGGGTTGCATGGGGGCGGGGGCGGGATTGCGCGTCGCTCGGGGAGTGGGGGGCAGCGTCTCGCTGGAAGGGGCTCTGTCCCCGCGCGGCGAAATTAATGCTCTCAATGCTGAACTAGATGCCCTACATCGTGAACGAGACGATCTTCAACAACAGGTATGCTAGTAATTGTATTAGAAAACTTTTGTTAGCACTTGTCATCTACTCTGATCGCGTGGAGTTCTATTTGTAATTGGCAACTTGACTGTTTTAGGAAAGTTTTTTAAAACTTTTATCCGTTTTATCCGCAAATTGTTATTTAAATAAACGAGTAAAGTAAAGTTACTTAGATCCGTGACGTCACATTTGAATAAACACGATTACTGCACTTGCAATGAAGACGTTGACGTTCAGTTCATTAAAATGTGACGACACACGATGCTCCATCTGGCCACCTTCATTTCGGTTCTTTTAATCCACAGATTATAAATAGTTAATTTTTCAAAAAATAAATATAATTACAAAATATTTTATAATTAAAAATACTTCATAATTTTATTATTATTTAATATGATTGTAGTAAGAAAGAGAATAAAATATAATAAAGAATATTATATTTAGAAAACTTCTTTTAAAGAAATAATGAAAATGAAATCTGGAAAATTTATAAGCATAAAGTAAGCTCCGATAAGCAATAAGAGTAAACGGTCATATTACATAACTAGTAACATATTACGTGACGCCCTATATACTAATATTTAATTTTTATTTGACAAAAAGACATGCAACTTAACATTCTACGCTGAATTCATATAGGTATATTATTTACTGCAAACATCAGTTCGTGACAGAATACACTTAAAAGCTATATTAATGTTGTTAAAAACATTATCCAAACAAATACAGAAACTCTTATGCTCATTTTCACTAAACTTAGGAGTCGCCCAAATATGTCTCCTAAATATTTAGGAATCGCCGAAGGTGAAAATTTATTTCACCAATTACTAGGAAACACCTAACAACATTAAGCAATGTCTAATGTTATGACATGCGTTATGCGGCGCATTCCATTAGGCATTTGCCTAATGACACGTCACAAAATATCTGTCAAAGGATAATAATATTTATTTGGAATTAAACTAACCAGCGTTTCCTAGTTAAGCTCTGCCTTGTTAGTGAAAACGGATATTAGTATACTTAATTGAATAAGTAAATAATATTTTTAACAGATTATATTTAATATATTTTGATAATGAACTTATTATTATATGTATAATATTAATATGTAACGTTTTGTAATATGCACAACGCACGCGCAGATAAGACGGATGACAGATTCACCTGTACATAAGATATGCTGTGAAAAGGTAAATCTGCATGCAAATGTAACATTTAATTTAATGTCACAATTACTCACTTATATAAGAAGTTTATGTATATATTAATAATTACGTATATATAATAATATTTTCAGCATGGCTTCTGTATAGTGAATTTATTTTATTATGATATTTTTCTTTTAGCTTTTTATAAATGAAATACTTAAATTCATGAACATTTTTAATATAAGTAATATCATTTTTTAAAACGACATTTCATGGTACTTACCGCAATGGAGCTCAACGCAAGTGGGTGGGTTACGCAAATGATTGTTTTATTATAACAATTTGTGTTTGAGTAATTGTAGATACATTGTTTTTAGAATAATATAAATGAAATATTTTTTGAAATTATGGTCCTTAAATAATTGTCAACCTGTTTGGTTTTCCATTATTCTACAGATTCCTTGAAATGACCAAATCAACTTAAATGATTATCTGACTAGAAGTTCCAAATGATGTAGGTTTTATCTTCGTTTTTAGTTATCTTTGAAATTGAAAAAAAAACTACATCTCTTTTTTTGTGGATAAGACACCTGTTTTATATCTACAATTTAAACAAAATTGTGAGAAACAATAAAATAAAATTGATAGTTTATGTTTAGTTTAATGTATATAAATTATCAGTGGCCAAATGACCTGCGTGGAGAGTATTTGAGTTTTCTTTAAAATTCACTCGAAAAGTGTATAAATTACTCCTCGTGATACGTTGATGAGTGGTTCGCACACAGCTGGAGGCGGCAAACCGTCAGCTACGTTCGACGCGTCAGTTCGTGGAGGAACAAGCTCACGAGCGCGAGCACGAACGCGACGAATTCGCGCGCAGGCTCGCCGACATGCGTGAAGAGAACGCACGGCTCACTGCACGACTGCAAAACAACGCACGCATTTTGAACGAGGTCAGTCAATTGAAACGCTCATCAATTAATGGTAACGGGATATATAACGCTATCATAGTTAATGTTACCACGAAAAGAGAAAGAGGCTGCAGAGTTCGTTTTAGTTATTAGAAAACTTTTGTTAGCTATGTCTATGAGTTAGTTTTTTTACTTTTCTTATTTCTCAGGCGTCGCTTTACGATGCATGATAAGTTTTTGTTTTTTTAATTGTATCTGTTTCTGGATAAAGTTTAATTTATTGAATACGTCGCTTTGTTGCAACTTGCCCTTTTCTAACTGCTCCACGAACTTTCGAGTGCGTTCATACGTTATCTCAATCTCGACTAGAGATGTGTAAGTACTGTGAGTAATGTATAACGCGTAATATGACAAGACCGCGTACTGTACAGTACGTATTACCCGATAAAATTAAGCATGACCCATGACGCTAAACAAGGCATGTCAACGAACATGACATCGACATATTGTAGTGTAATACCACAGATAATACTATCGGGCGCTCCCGGCCTCATCTTAGGTCATGTTTAGAGTACTGAGTAATATTTTAATGTCATTGTACGGTATGAAATGTCATGCCATATGGCATTACTTTTTAGCATACTCTTTTCGCATGTCTACTCTCGACTCGACCCGAATTATGTGACATTTGAGTGTAGACATAGCGGTTCTCGAGTTTGTCATGCTACGTGTGCAGGTAACATTCACTTTCGACTGAATAGGGATGATGACTAATTTTTGTTTGTTTGTCCGTCAGGTAGAGTTTTAAAAAATATTAAACACGTATTTTTTTATTTTTTTCGTAATCATAAAATTACGGCGTTACATTGAGTTGAAATTTCGCATGACGTCACGATAGAGTACGTTTTCTACTCAACTGTGACGTAGCGAGCTCCCACTCCTCAACTTTAATGCCTGTTATCTTAGCTATTTCTTGTTGAATTGAAGTTAAAAAAAAAATACGTATCTAATATTTTTCTATTATCTGACTGACGGACTAAATAGAATTGCATTTTTTACCCAGTCATCATCCCTATTGCGTTGTATGTTTTTTTTTAGATTTCCACATAATGTCTAATGACTTGCACTAATACAATTTGCACTTATTATTTTTTGTACGTCTGGTGTTTGTGCTAATGTTTTGCTTGTGTTAAACTATATTTCCAAATCTGAACTACTAACGTTTCAATGAAATAGCATGACTCGGCTTTTATTTCCGTTTTCAATTCCACATCGTTCAATACTTATCAGATTTTGGGATAAAGTTTGTAGTTATTAATCTAGCGCCTTAACATCGAAATAAAAGCAAATCAAATATGCGGTAATGCTACCTTTCGTAGCCGTTTATGTAACCGTAGCCGATACTGAATCGATGTTCAGGCGCACCGTAGCGACTAACCCGCTAACACGGTGTGTGTACAGATGCACCAACTGCACCTCGCACAATGCAACTGCCGCGACTACAAGCCACGAGTAAGTCCAGCTTGCTTTTTATGTTTATTTATAAAATAAAATAATTTCTAGGTACTAGTTCCTCGACCACAACTCTCAAATTAACAGGTTTTCTTATGATGCGGTCTGATAAGTTATGTAACACTTTATAAGGCGATTGCAATTTTATATAAAGATTTGATTTGATTAGTATTTGTATTGTAGTCTAATATGTACGTTAAAAGGTAACTGGCGATTAGTTTTAGTTTATCTGCATGATTTTTATATGATATTGTAAAAACTAAAATATTAGTTTTGCTTACAGTACGTCTAGCACTATTATAGTAAATAGATTTGTTTCCATTCAATTACTAATTAAATAAAAATATCTTGCTGCTGAGTTATTATGACACCGATGATTGATGATATCGTAAACTGTGTTTGTTGTAGTTGATAAATCGGTCTAATCATAATGATCAAGAACTATAATTTTTCATGTTTAAATATTATTTTGTTAAATGTGAACGGTTTCTATTCAGGTCGAACAGCTGGAAACCCAAACACGTGAAATGAACCAAATAATAGCTGATTTGGAATCTCGCAAGGCATCAACTGACGAGGAGTTAAAAGCGAGAGACGAGAAGATCACCCTCCTTAGAGATATCATAGCGAACCTCGAAGGTCAATTGGAGCAGAAGTCAACACACGAGACGGAAATTGTGGAACAACTAGAGGTTATGAAACAGACAATCGACGACAGAGACAGTAAGATGCGATCACTGCTCGGTGAACTGGAGTCGCTAAGGAGCGAAAAGGCGGAATTAACACAAGTACCCTGCGTTAATTGCTCCCAGGAGGAGGACAAACAGAGTGAACTCCTGGATAAAGTGAAAGAACAGGTTTATATTAAATTTTATTATCTTTCGAATTGTATTCTTTTATATCAGCATAGTATTTATGTGTGATATTAAAGCTATATAAAATATTCATTTTTGAATTTAACAAAAAATAAATATAACTATGATCCAAGATGGAATGCTAGTTCACAGTCAAATCTTTGATCACAAATCAGCCTTGTATTGAAGGTGTCTATAAATATTACACCAATGGTTTTTCTTCATGCTTAAAATAATCCTTTATTTAACACGGCTTTGACGTGTACAGTGTCAATGGTTGGAGGAGCACATACATCGTCGCACGCAGCGCCTCGAGCGTATGCATGAAGTGTGTTCCAACTCCTGCAGTGAACCCAGCGAAGATGTTTCATTGAGAGAACAAAAGGATACAGGACAGGTTAATTATTTTTTTTTATCATAGTCATAAAACAAAATAATATATATTAAACCAGAGCTAAGTATATTAAAATACACTTAGTTTCGTTTCGTTTTAGTATGTTATTAAGAAACTACAAATTTCTAACTATATTTTGAATGTTTAAATAAATCTAATTTATCAATGAGTTACGGATTAAAATTTTACTTGCAAGTTACAGATTATTTGTTTAGATTAAAATTAATTTTTCAGTTAAACTGTCAAGGCGAGACTTATCACTCGACACCTTTTAATAGGTACAATTCAGTTACTCACATAAACATGTTGAAGTGATCAAAATGAAGAGACATGCGTTTCCTTCTTTCCTGTTGCTTGCTCATATAACTAAAGTTTGATGACGTATCGTTTGTGAAACAGCTCAAATCGCCGAAGAGTCCACAGAGTCCTAGTGGTCCACAACTATCGGAACTGTCCGGTATATGGGAATCGCTGCAGGCGCTCCAGCGTGCCGAAGATGCGGCGCTGAAGCGTGTGCGAGATCTGGAGATGCAGCGTGATCATCTCAAAGACGTGGCACAGGTCAGTCTCATACGACCACACTGAAAACTGTGATTTCATGCCTTTTTTATTTATCCTGGAAATGCTTTTAGTGCTATCCCTTGCTTGCCTGCTGATGTAGTATATAACCCAAGTCACTTACCCTTAGACAAATTCAGTTCCTTATAACACCTATCAAAGATGTTAAAACAGATTGAGCTTACAATTGGGAGTAGTTTTAATGTGTTTTAAATGAAATAAAAAATAATACGGTATATTTGACGTTTAAGCTAGTAATTAAAATTAATATGGTTTATTTTTAGATGTGGTAAAGTAATTGCAAATATTGATTATCGGTTAAATATAAAATAACAATAAGTATAACCTAGGTGAGAAATAATGTGCATTTATTTGATTAAAGGTAGTTATAAATTCCATGTCAATCTTGTACCATTTTATCGTACCAACATATGATAATAATGGCCTTCTGCCGTAGATTTTCTAAATGACGATATAATTTTACGTATTGCTTAAATTAATAATAAAAAAAAATGTTGTACTCGTTGTCGGGTGATCGCAACTTCATAGGGACGTGACTTTATAGCGACGTCATGACAGAATTAGCGATTTCGCGAAAAATTTTGAAAATATTTTTTAGAGTTAACTTATTATATGAATGATATTTTCGATGTGTTTAATTTAGCAATGAAATATATATATATATATAAAAGTTGTCTCTAAACTAAATGAAATATTACTAGATACGACACACGATATTTTTAGGTAGTCCAATAGCTAAATGTTAATATAACGACAACATAAACTGCGGAATCCAGAACGAAGTGATTAGAAAACGCACCAAAATAGTATGGGTATCGTGTATCGATGTCGTATCCCAGTAACTTCTACATTTGTTGGCGGTTGTTAATGGGAACATTTTTGGATGCATTTCTCATGAATTTCATGAATTGAAATTTTATTTTATTTAATGGACAATCCACAAGGCATTCACTTAATTTATTATATTAGTTACATGCATGTTCATATTTAGAAGTGAACTCTTAGTTATAGGTTGCCACGGCAAGCTTCATAAGAAAATCAAGATTAAATATATGGATATGCAAATTACTTAGTAAGCATGTTTCATGCATGACAACAGCATAGTCCTACAACATTTTGTCATGGATTCGAATCTAATTCACTGATGCTTTGCAATGACCAATTCTTGGTCAACTTTATTATTATCCATTACAACCACGGCAACTACACAGCCCTACGATACAGGATCTTGGGATTGAGACGATAATTCGTTTTCACCGATGCAGATTGCGATGAATACAGTAGAATTAGATTAATGATATTCCATTATAGAGGTAATAAATTATAGAGAAATATTGTTTAATTGTTCAAAGACATTCATTGTGCGCATATAATAATTGGAATTAATGAAATAGTAGCCGTTTTTGAGATTCAGGTTATATAAGAATTGCTCGTTAATGGTATTAGTTTCGAAATTATTGATTTTATTTTAGGCGCCCTGTTAAACATTTGGTTATATAGAGCCAATTGTATTAGTTAATTGGCGGAACGTCCACATTCAACATACAACCCATCGACTCGCAAACGGTTGAGAAATTACATTGATTCCTAAAGCTTTCGCCTTGCTTATTTCATTTAATATTTGAATTTGCATTTTGTGTAATAAATACCAAAAATAATCTCCATTCATCCATTTTGTAAAGGTCTAGCATATTATATGCCAAGCCACGAATCAATAATTGAATTTCATCAACACCTTTTTTATTTTTGACACAAAGTATAATAGTATAAAGTATGGTCATAAAATAAAACGGTGGTCTTTACACAAAAACTCATTTCTAGTTACCTTAAAATTCAATAAATTATATATCTGAAATGACATTGTTCCATGGCCATTGAAAATATAAATTACGCTGTTGTGGAATTAAACAGAACATTATAACTTCTTAATGGTTTTAATAGACTTCTTCAATATAATGCCCGATTCCATCCAATATTATCAGATAACGTAAGAACATTTGATGTAATTTTATGAACATGTTCTACTTTGGGACCTTGACGACATTCACGTTCATTGATTACTGGCATTTATCCAATGGTTTATTTTGATATCGTTGGCGTGATATTCGCACAACGCTGGAGGAAGGACAAGGGTACTGATGGCGTTGTTTTAGTATAAAAAAAAACTAATTTTTTTTTAATGAACATAATTATAAACTATAATTTTATTATAAACATAGTACTGATGTTACTTAGAAAATTGGTTTCCATTAATTCTCAAACATTTTTTATGTTCCAATAACTATTATTTGCAAGTTTTAATAACTAAAACCTATAATGATAACAACAAAGAAACCACTGTCACCTATTTAGAGATATGTCCTTACAGATATTATAATACTATACTAGTACTATCATATTTCTTCGTCAATATTACAAATACTTATTTATTAAGCAGTATTCCATACAAGTTCAAGATTTTCGCAGTTATAAAATTGATTCTGACGCATGAACGCCTACCGAGTCGTCCATGTCATTCATCGCTCTTAAAAAACACTCATTTACTATTCAACAATATTTGTATTACAATAATTGTTTGGCAAACGCAAAACGATTCTACCGTCATATTTTTAAGAACAGTAGATCTCTTTGTTTTATAACATACTAGCTTTCGCCAGCGGCTTCGCCCGCGTGGTCCTTAGGGAAATGTTTAGTGGGAAAAAAAGTATCCTATTATCTAAGTCAGCTAATACCCTATCTGTATACCAAATTTCATCAAAATCCGTTCAGTAGTTTCGGCGTGATTGACCGACAAACATCCAAACAAAGAAACTTTCAAATTTATAATATTAATAGGATACTAGCTGTTTTCCCACAACTACGCCCGCGTAAATTATGTCACCCGCGAACGATGTAGCTTTCCGTAGGTGTTTTTTTTTAAATCTGTCCAGTAGTTTCGGAAGTTATTCAAGGCAAACAATGAAATCTTTCCTCATTATAATTTTATTGATAATATCACAATATTGTTTTCTGGTTTACGGTACTTATTTTTCTAGTTTTTGCAAAAATAGCTCTTATCATTGATATATTCTAGAAATTTCGTACTTATATACTACCCACGGATCGAATGTTATGCTTCGATCCCCACAAAGGACAATTTTTCGTGTGATTTACAAATAATTGTTCTTAGTCTGGGTGTACTTAGTCCTTCGCAACACAGGGCTTGTATCTTAAAAAGCGTGCTTGTCTTTTAAAATACAAAAAGGATATAACAAAATAACAACTAAATAATTAAAGATCCATGAATAAAACTTTCTTTGAATTGTCAAAGCATCACGTACTTTCTTAAAGGGACGTAATAAACAATATTGAACTTAATATATATGTAATAGAAGTAATTCTTGCTAATTATAAGTCATAAACAATTCAAGCACAAAATAAAATACGGGGAATAGTTGCGTCAAAAATATGAATTGGTTCAAATATTTAATAAAAGTATTTTTTATTGTTCACTGTGAATTTTAGCATTCCTCTAAAGTGACGCCTGCGGCAGTAAGTTTATGAGTAACAATCGACCAAATGTTTTTAATTCGAAAATATCGTCCAACTCCTTTGAAAACAACAAACGTGATTTTTTTGCGTGTTTTATGGATGTGCGCGAACTGCGCGACCTGAACGTGCGCGAGTCGGGCTTACGCTTGTAAGTTTTTTTAAATAATATATTTTAGTGGAGAATTATTACCGGACGAAAAAGTAATATATACTAATATACTATTAACAAGATACTTTAATACCTACTTAACCGAGGGGCATTAAATTAGTTTTGCGAAAAATGTACAAAACTAAAAAAAATAGTGAGTGGACGCAATGAGATTCGTTCGATACCTACAAATTGAAAAGATTGCACAATATCCGTGGGCAAAATTTAATTTCGCGTCACGCACTAAAATCTCTAAAAATACTGGATTAAGAAAGCAAGAACAAGCTGACTATCACGTTGCTTTGAGGATCAGTCATAGAATCTTGCAAGAGCAAAGCACCAGGTTGTTTTCCACCAGTCCAGAATAAGACAGTAGTCAAATATCTAGATCCAAGTAAAATGACCGCATAATTATTAAACGAATAAAATAAAAGGACTACTTAGTAGAGCAACTGGACTATTCTATAAAGACATGCGTGTAATTCACAGAAACACCGGTAGATTTTTTTTATTTGGTTCTATCCTGTTCTGTTCTCCAGTAGTGAGGATAGTGATTAGCTTAATGATGATGGTATCAAGGTGACTCACTGGCAGATTTTAATTGAGATTAGCTTAAGACTCTAGTGTAGCAAGTCTGTGTGCATACAGTACTCTCGGACCACGTGGACGAAGTAGCGGGTTACTGCTAGTTCCTATATATTATGTCAGTCAACTGATTAAGAATATTATTGATTTTCTTATACATTGCCGTTTAGTCTCAAAATAGGTCACCGGAATCATTAATGTAGATTGCACCTGCGTCTGCGCAGTCGTTGGGTCCGCCGACTCAATATGCCACTTTATTTACTGCGTGACTCACGTTCGCATATAGAGGCAGTTAACGGTAATTAGGCAAATAATTTTAAAGCGTACTAACAGGACAGGTTTTGTTTAGTTGCTTCTGATCTTTCTTTTTCACTTTGTCGTCAAAGTCAAAAGTTTATTTGCAAACTAAGTTTTGCTACATACAGTAATTACAATAGATTTTTTTCGATCGCTGAATTCCTTTTCCTGTGTTATAGTGAAAACAATTGTAATTTGTGTAACATAGTTGGTTAGACCTATAAAACAGTCGATGATCAGAAATAATTTTAGCTGTGTTTGCCAGGAATTAGCATGAGCGGTAACTAAAGTACCAATAGAGTTAGTCAGTTTAGAGTTAGTAATATATACCATAATCGCAACGTTTTCAATTGAGAGCGACCTTAATCCTAGCTTGAGCTCTCTCCACCCACCGTGAATTATCTGGTCTTAGTGATGTCAGATAGATTTATGTAACTCGGTATAATATATCCCTTATTAGTTGTAAGATATATAATGGGAAATAGAAAAAGATTTTATTTAGAGGCAAGAAAAATATATAACAAATTGAAATATTGAAATTAATGGAGTACTGTATTTTCGGTATGCCATGATTCTCCATTTCATTTTTATGATAATAACAGCTGTGCAATTTAATCGACGTTATTTTACATTAAATATCTCTATTTTAGTTTGAGAAATATAAAAGATGATTACGAACAATCAAAACGATACAATAATATTATAATATCTTCTTCGCGTAGGATTCTTTAGACGTAAAATTACGCAAGCGTCAAGTTTAGTTCGTCTATTAAATTCGATTTCATTCTGAGTTTGAACGCGAACAGGATAGTAACCCACTTCCAATGAATAGTTAAAACAGCGGGTTGCACAAGCGGAAGATAAACATGCGGTGTATTGGAATAGATGCCAACTTCTGCTAAATGCCAACCCTGTGTCGTCCCGCGCGGTCCTATATCTATTATGAGAGTGTTTACGAGATAAATATAGATATTATCAAAACACATGACCGTGAAAACTTTGGATACGATGATAGCATTAAAACCTATAAAAAAATGACGGTGTGAGTAGTTTTTTTTCATTTTATAACAAAATTATAATCCGTGCCGAAAAAATGTTAAAATATTTTGTGCTATTTCTCTCCACTTGAAATAACTTTTGACTATACCTTTTACTCGGGTGACCTAAAATATCTGATAACACGAGTTTTTCTTTTTGTTTCGTTTTCTTATAAATGTTCAGTAAGTAATATAGTTCTTATCGCAAACTAGCACTTGCCACATCTATTTGAAATTTCTCGCATCTGTGCTCATACGCATGTCGGACAGCTGTCCGTGCATTCGTCTTCAGTCTGTCCCGATGTTTCAGAGTGTATTTTGCTGCCGCAAGGTCTTGTACTACCTGATACTATCGCGTCATAATCCTCACGTTCATAACATCCATTGCATTATCACTGTAAAAATGTAAAAAAAAAAACAATAGATATACACCTGTACCACAATGTAGTGAATTGTTTGTGATAACATTGCAGTGCCATTGTCATATTCCAATGTGTGATGTTTGTGTGGAATTACTTTAGGAAGTACTTTGGAATGGGGCTGCCTGATCCGACGGTGAGTTCATTTAACGATACGCATTATTTTATTAAGCAACGTTACGAGTCCTTTTTAAGGTTACGTACCCTTTTTAAGGTTACGTACCCAAAGGATAAAACGGGAACATTGTATTTCATAACAGATTGTATCTCATAAACTTTGAATTTTCATAAATGATGTATTTGACAAAATCAAATACTAAAAACCATATTAAAATACATATTTAAGGGGATTCCCATACATACAGAAATATTACGCGATGATTACTTAGTTGACTGAGTTAAAATATATTTACCGAAATAATTTCGTCGCTCATTCACACAAACTTGGGACGTGGTTACAAACATTTCATTATATTGTTATTGAAACGTGTAAGTTTATATATTGAGCTTTTTTTTAATATTTCCCAGGAGAAGGAAATTTATTGAACACACCTATTGTGTGTAATTACATAATTAGACAATCACATTGACCAATAATGAGTGTATCCGGTGTGGAAACATAATCTCATGTCTGAAATGACATAAGTGGTGATAATCCAGTACTATGAGTAAGCGGGTCCCCCGCGTATCTAAATGAACTTCATACAGATGTAAATAACTCCTAATTAAATGGTATTAAACTTGAAGCTAGCACGTAAGATAAACGTTGGCCAGTTCGTTCTCACATAAAGCTGCTGCAATTGATTTTAAAACCGATTTCAAGTATCAAAACAATACATTGTGTTAGCCACAAATCTGTACTAACATAGGGGGCTTCTCTAAACACTGCAGATTGTTATTAACGCTTGCTAAAATATGAAATCGTAAATCATGTTTCTTAATCTTTAGATGGTGTTATTGTTCTTTTGCAACCATATTGACGTCTTATGTCAGAAATAACTGGGAACTTACACATGTCATGCGATATTAACCATTCGATTTATGTTTATAATAGTAGTAAGATTAATGTTATTTCAATGCAGTTACTCAGTCTACATATTTAACTAGTAGTCGTAAAGGATATGTTGTTGGTACGCAAAATTGTACAGCGAAATAAAAATCGGCAAGAAAATCGTAGAAATATTTCTTTTGTTTTATAATTAGACTAACTTTTTCCTTCGACTTCGTTTAGTTACTTTAGACATCAAATCAGTACTATGAAAATGCTAAAACATATATTTATTTATTACTAGTTTTCCGTGAGTGTTTTCGCCCGCATGGTATAAATATAAAACTCTTTAATCAGTATCTGTAGTTGAAAATCGCATTAAAATTAATTTAGTCTTATTTTGTGTAACTTTAAATGTAAGTCTTATAAAGAATGATAGAATGGATAAAGCTGACATGATCTTTGGATCTTTCCAATGTTAGCTGAGAATCTTTCATCATACAATACTCTATAAACGAAAGTGACGCTATTCAAACTTTAGGGCAATGAAACTAATACATACAAACTTCTACTTATCGTTAGTTTATACTTATTTATACCTGAAACCGTTATTGGCTTCTTATGTTAGCAGTGCTATTCTGATAAAAATATAGCAGCAACGCAGCGTCGAACACAGTGCTGTCGCAGTATTTTTATGAAATTAAATTAATCAACATATCGGCGTTCGTTATATTACAACGGGATGAACTATGTATACGTATTCCTAATATTGATATTGCTACAGAATTTAACAAATTGTTTAACAAAAACTATTTGACCGATAAATTGATACATTATTTTCAGTATCGGACTCTCACAATTTGTTTTAAGTGCTTAAAGTTTCTCGTCTGTACGACTGAATTTTATCGAAGAATCTTTCTTTCGGTCTTCACATTTGTGTATTTTGAATTTAAGTAACGTACACGCCATTTTCGTCACATTTAATTCTTAAGAAGCTTCTATCCCACTTGGTAGTGTTAGCTTTCAGTACGCTTTCACGTGTGAAGGAATGATGTCAGTTAAAAATAAACGATTTCTCTTTTAACACTGCCGGGTGTAAAATATTATCTTCTTACTATTTTTATAACGTAACCACTCCATTGCTGCAGCGATTGTGTATACCCTTTATATGACGTTAAAAATTATTTGAAATAAACATTATGTGTAAATACGAAAAGATGATTTTACGTTATCATCATCATCATCACCCACTGATATTTGAGAATGATTTCTTATCGTGTCGGTGGTCGAGTTAAGTTTAAAAAATTCTTTGTTCAATACTAGTTCTTTAAATATATTTTTTTACGCTTTCTTTGGTAAAAATGACAAACTTCGCTTCGTTGTTTTGTATCATTTTATTTTAACAATGAGCGTTAAATTCAGACCTGTCACATTTAGCGTCCAGTGACCTTCTCAGCTCGGATGAACTTTGCAATGACACTAGATTAGTTTAAGTAGGCCAGCTACGTATAAAAATATAGGACAATGCCTTGGTCGCTTATAAAATGCATGCCTACGTGTTCCTTTCTCTAATTTTATACTAACATCAGTTATCATTCAATGGACTTGTGTAGAAAAGAACCCTTTTTTAAGGATCAGAGCATTTTATTTTGAAGTTTGTTTACAGCGCCGTATTTTCTTAATCAATCCTTAATAATGAACCGTTATCATTTCCTACCATTTAATATTATTGACGTTTATGTTCAATAAATCGCTGAATCCTTCATACTTGAAGTCCATTAGTCAACTAAACTAAAATATTGGTGTAACATTCAATGGTACATGTAGATATTATTATTTACACTTATTCTATTCATCCGACAAATGGATTTGAAGCAATTGTCTGTATGATTGCTACGTCAAATCAAAATCAATTTCAATTGATCTAGTTCATGACTATTTCATGTTTAATATAATGTTTTGTTTGTTAGTTTGTATTTTTACGTTCTGTCGATCTGACTGTTTTTGGTTCGTGGAATCACCATTATAATGTTCTGATTGTCAGGAGGTGCGCGCAGAGCGTGATGTGCTGCAAGCGCGCATGTCCGAGCAGGCGCTGAAGATCTCATCACTGTCAGCGCGGTTACAGCAACATCGTAACGATGCATCTGCGCTTGCGCATCACGCTTCAAGCCAACTCACAGTACAACTGCACGATGCTAAAGCAGAGGTCAGTACAATATATCCACCGTTCTCAAATCCTGGACATATTAATTGCTGGTCTTCCGACGTTGTTTGCAGCAAGTGACAATAAATAGCATCGGAAAATTTATATTCCCATTTAGATGTAAAACTCAAACTAGAAAATCAGATCAGATTTTCAGATGGATATTAGCTCTAGTTTGAATCAATATAATACTGTTTTAATTTTTGACGTTAATCGTGAGTAGAAGGATAGGAAGAGTACATACTCTTTGTTTATTTTTACAACTTTCTAGAGGAAATCTTTAGTCTCAATGACTATGATCAAAATTACTTTTGATAACGCAAGAAAATAACGCCTGTGGTACTTCATTCTATTTATAAATATCAGTAGGTATTGGTAACAAATATCGGTGTATAACCTTACTAATCTAAATATTCCATATTCACAATGTAAATTAACCTACTAGAGATTTAATGTAATTATTCAAAATAATTATAATTTTTGTAGGTTGAAAAACTCAAAGAGGACCTCGAATCGAAAGACAAACAACTGTTACGCCTCAAACAGACTTTGGACGAAAAGGATAAGTTGAATGAACAACATCAATCATTATACGGAAATTCATGTGAGTTTTCAGAAAGTATTCCGTTTTATTTGGTACTTCTATTTTTTTGCCATTATAAAATTGCATGTTTATTATTACTATATTTTCGTGTACTTTAAGCATTTATTAATGCAAATATTTCTAAATTTGAATAGTATTTATACTTAGTATAATTATTATATATCTTTCTACCCAGGTAATCCAAAAGACAAGGTAGTAATACTGGAAAGAGAGCTATCCTCGGCTCAGAGCCGAATAGCTCAATTAGAAACATTAGCCAAAAGTCTGGAAGCGGACAAAAATGCACTTAATTCGACGCTAAGGGACTTGCAAAGGGCGTTAGCTGAAAAAGAGGAACAATTGCAAGAATTTCTGGGTACGAAAATCATGCTTGTTATAATATAGTGACACTAAAAGATCGTATGATAGAAATCTGTATCCAGACAGTATATTAAAATAAAAGTTCCAGAATTTGCAACTGGGGTTAACAAACTGCTCATTTTAATGTATTGTTTTGTATAAAAAGCAACAAAAGAAATCGATTAGTAAAGTAAAAGGTAGCATAAAGATTGATTTGCTAGGTAAATGTTTAATGCTTAACTACGTCTTATTGAAATATTATTACCTATTCTATAATGTAAAAAATATATATATATATATTCGCTTATAAAATAAGGCAAAGTTTAAGTATTGTCTCAATAAAACTTTTATTAAGGACTTTTATACAGTTCTGGAAAGATAATATCTGGATTTCATATTGGAAGTATTCCAAAATGCATACACCGATTTAGTTTACAGCGTCTAGACCGAGTGTTGTTAGTCATAAGTCTGTGACACCCTTATTCCTTGATAATTTATTTCTGTAGTAAAAATCTTTTTTAAAATAACCGAATATTTTTTATAGCACTCAAACTTGACGACGACAATCGAAAAGAAGACAGAAGCGATGTCCTAGAAGGAAAAGTGTCTGCTCGAACGCTTAGTGATATTGTCTCGATATCCGAGTTCGACGAACAGGACTTACAGATGCGACGCGCAGAATTGCGGGCGCATAATCTCAGTTTGTCTGCGCATGCGCATAAAGATGTGTTACAACAAACACTGCCCCCGGATATCTGTTCGTTGCATGTAGAACACATCGAACACTCACATATTACAAACTCCCCACGAGCTGATTCACTTCCCCCCCATCTCACATCCACTCAAAACAGAGAATATAGATCGTATCAACGAAACGTTAATGAAACCACACTCTATGGAGGCGACAAACATAATATCAAACAAAGTATTCAGGAAAATTGCTCTATGTATCCCAACAGAGATGTGAGTGACACGAAAAATATTAGCGTCGAACCTAAGGTCATAGATTTTTCGGTCGAACCTTCCAGGGACGAGGAATTCGCATCGCTTCGGGAGATGGGCATCAGTTTGGATATCGACCGTGATAACTTCCCCGATATATTGCAACGATTAAAAAATGAAATAAAGAAGTCGAGGACCGAATTAGAAAACTGCAAGTCGGAACTCAAGAACGCAGAAGAGAAACTGTGTGAATTCCCCGCTTTAAAGGAGGAAGTCGAGGAGTTGAAGAATCTTCTTGAAAACACCGTTGCTGCCATGGAAACAGATAAAAAGTTCTATGAAAACCAGTTGGAAAATTTCACGTCGAATAGAAAATCTCTTGAACGGCGGATGACTGAGTTGACGCAGGAGGTGAATGACAAATCCAAAGATTTGCACTTGCTCAAAGAAGACATTTTGAAAAGAGAAAATATGATATTAGAATTAGCAAAAGAGAAACGTAATTTGACTAATAAATTAGCGGAATTAGAAGTCAAGATCGATGAGCTACAGAGCAGAAACAAAGCTTTAGAAAACGTTGAAGGCGAAAAGCGCCAGATGAAAGAGAGGATCCAAGAATTGGAGAAGTTGGAACAGCTCGTGTCAGAGAAGAATCATCAAATTGACAGTCTGAATCAGCACTTGGATAGATTGGATGATCTGCAGAGACGCCTTGATGACAAAACAGAAGAGATGGAAGGTTTGAAGGAAGCATTTGAAGTGAAATCAAATGAACTTTTCGGAATGCAAAATACTGTTGAATCTTTGAACAGAGATATTGCAAAACTGAATGCTGCCAACAATGAACTTGATACTAATAATAAAGAGTTAAAATTGAAACTCACAAAACTTGAGAAGGAGCAAGAGAATGCGTCTCTAAAACTGCAAAACAGCGAGAGCGAAGTGGGTAGGCTAAATTCTTTAAATGGAGAGTTGACATCTAAAATAGACGAGTTGAAACTTTTGCATGAGAAATTGAAAGACAAAGAAACCGAAATAGAGATATTGAACGAGGACATTAACGCTTTCCACGAAGAGATAGCTTCATTGAAGGAACAACTAAAGATGGCTTCTAGAAGTCCGTCGCCGAAGAGTAAAGGTGGTGATGACAAGAAAACGATGGAGAGGCGTACCGGTGGGGATATGAAACAACTTATGAAGATACGGAAACAGATCTCTCTAATGCAGCACGAACTTGATTTCCAAAAGAAGGAACTCAATGATAAGGTGAGTGAGTTATATATTTAAGTGACAGTTTCATTTGAAAAAGTGCGTCAGAAGAAACACTCATTCCATAGAATGTTTTGACTAACATAATACAGGGCATTTAAAAAACGGGGGTTACAGCTGTCTTAATGTTTGCCTTTAACACAAATCTTGTAGGTTTTTATCTCGCTTTCAGGTTTTTTGTTTGTTTTTCAATTCTGTCATTTAATTAACCAATTTAATATATGATAATAATAACTGCTTGCCAGGCCTTCGAGTTAGCGAAAGCAAAGCTAGAGGTGACAGAGCTGAAGAATAATCTAGGTCAAGCACAGAAGATGGCGGCGGATAAGGAACTAGAGGCTGTTGGACTGAAGAGTGAGCTGCAACAATTAGCAGTTCACAGGCAGCAGCTCTCGCAACAGCTGCACGCTGTCAACGACAGGTTTGTATGTTATGGTTCATTATAGTAAAATAATCCCAAGATATCTTTTACTAATTTATTTTTATTACGCTTAAGGGTTAAAGTCTAGTCTAGAAATCAACATTTCAAATACATATTCAAAAATGAAATGTGTGATGATTCACATAAACGTTTGAACGACGCGGTGACTTAGGCGTCTAATATGTAAAATTCTCGTGTCACGTTTTAGTTACTATACTCCTCTTGATGATGAAATACGATACGATGAAATTTTATTTTATTCATATGTCTGAGAATAGGTTGCTATCTATCTTACCGTAAGTGATGAAGGTCCACCCCAAATTTAAATGGCAAAGCAACGTTTTTCGGGTTAGGTAGTATATCTTTATTTTTTTTCTTACAATAGGATCAGGGAAGAATCTAATATGTCTGAATTGAAAGCAAAATTGCGAGAAAAGTCTGAACGGTGCCAAGAACTAGAAGCCGAGCTCCAGGATATGAAGGATCTAGTTGAAAGGTATGTGTTTGTACCTTTATTTTACATTGTTTTTCTTCTTTCGTCTCTATTTATTTCCATTACTTACTATTTAGAATAAGTCACAAACATCTTTATTACTTATAAAATTAGTTTTGGGATAAGTGCACTAGATTCGGACATTACCTTTGTTTCCCTTTTTATAATATTAGTATAGATTAATATAATACGTGATCATTCAATAGATTGCGTAGTATGGAAGCGCCAGTGACTGATCGCGCGTTAGTTGTAAGCGGTAGTAGATCACCCACTGCTGAACTAGAGCGAGCTCTGAGAGATCAACTCGACTACTCGCACGAGCTCGACGATCACATCATGGAACAGGTAAATGAAGCGTTTAAAAATATTTCATTCGATAGAACACTTAAAATACGTTTATAGAATGTTTCATTACGTAGATATTTCTTTAATCCCACGTACGATTCAACTATAGGTATACTTTTTATCGGTTATTGATGGCAGTATAATTTGCACGTTATCGAACTTCTTAAACTTTGTTTACACGTTTAGAGACAAATGGGGTGTAAAGAAAGACGAATTGGTATTTAAAAAAAATAACCGTTTCCATTAGATGCTATTCAGATACTTGTACCAATTGAACTCTTAACTTTTATTTTATAATTGTATTAGTACAAACGTAAATATCAGTGTTAAAATGTATGTATGATTCAATTATTTTTTTTTTTCTGACACACTTAAAAAATATAACATTTTTCTTACTGCAACTGTATTGCTTACCATACAGTTGCAGTAATTGGAATCTGAACAGTGTATATTATATTGTCCGGTATTAGTTTCTTATATAGGTTTTTCTTTTTATATCAGATTTTATCGGCAAGTAGCGATGAACGTGAAGATATACCACGACTCGCGTTGAACACATCAAAGTAAGTATCTCGTGAATGCATCATGTAGTTTTGGCCACTCCTTAGGAGAAGTTTATATCTAAAAATAGAAACATCTATTTAAGAAAATATTTTGTAGAAATAGATGGGGCTTACAGATTGTGGCCAGTCATTGCTGTTACACTTGTTATTGTTTTTTGTCTTACTATATGTAAATTATTTTGTAAAATTGTGGCATAAATGTAAATTTAGCAGTCTTTTTAATGATGCAAACATTAAGTAGTGAATATAAATCTGGACCTGAAAAGCATTAGGTCGGATGTCGGGAATCTTAGGCATAACTGTATAAAAACAGAAATAGCTAAATGCAATCAAAATATTTGAAAAAGTCGTCTGATCCGACTTTATGCATGACTGTTGCTCATGAGTAAAAAGGCACAAACATACAAGAGTTAATTTGCCGGAAAGAGAAAAAAGAGTGTAGCAACGTTATGGCGATAAGTGATTTTAGCTGGTTCTGCACATCCGACCTAATGCTTTTCAGGTCCAGAAATGTAGGTGATGTTATTTGTAAATTGTACCATTCAGTGAGCTGGTCCTGCCGTATGAAATTAAGTCGTGCACTTTTGTTTATAAAAATGTATTAATGCTATCAAAGAGGGACCAAATATAAGTCTGATGAACAATTAAATTTTGATAGGAGATTAAAGTATGCATAATTTTTGATATTTTAAAAATATATTAATTTATATACCTCGAATCCAAAATTAAGGTTACACATTTATGAATACCAACGATTATACCGATGTCATATTTATTGACTAGGTCGTCGTCTCCCGCGCATTCAACATCATCGGAGCGCGAGCGGCGACTGCGGCAAGATAACGATAAACTACAGCTGCACCTAAACCAGCTTGAACTGCGACTACGTGATAAGGACGCGCTCATCGCTGAGCTGAACAGGTGATTTACTACACTTTATTATAAACTAGATTTCAGCCACGCTCCACCAGCGTGGTCCTGTATTATACATAAAACCTTCCTTTTTCGTCACCCTACCTATTAAAAGAACCGCATCAAAATCCATTGCGAAGTTTTAAAGATCTATGCATACATATAGACAGACAGACAGAAAGCGACTTTGTTTTATACTATGTGTTGATTGATGTGCCAAAATTTAATTATACGCATTTTTCTGTGAATTTTTCATAGTCGTGTTGACTGTAATCTGTCAGTGCACTTTATGATCGGCTTGTTAATGTTTCCATTGCTGGTGCATAGGCCTTCTCTATTGATAGAATCGAATAGGGAGAACGGGCCCAGTGCAGATTGGCGAGTGTTAACGACCACAGACGCACCCGGGACGAACTACCTGTCTGATGACAAATATTTGGCTACCCATCTTGTGACCGATCCTTGTGAAAGTTGCTTGTAATGCAGATAATGACGCCTAAATTCAAATAATAAGGCTGAACGAACCAATTCATAATTTCAGCAACATATGCACCTGACATAAATTTATTTAAACCTGAATCTCAGTCAAAGTCCAAGAATCTTTATTTAATTAAACTTTTAACTACTTTTGAATCGTCCGGCATTATTTACCCTGCCACCAGGACGTCATTTTTCGAGTTAGTATAGCTCAACAGTGCGACCAAAAGTAGGCTTGATGTTGATCGAATAAGCAACGACATTGATCGTTTCTTATTTCTTCTATTGAGAAGAATATATATAAAAACAAGCTATGGTGTACTTTCAATAGGATTCGCGACAAATTGACGAACGACTGGCAGACTAGTCAACTGCGGTGTGAAGCAGAAAAGGACAACGCCGCAAGACTTCAACTGTTGCTACACACTCACAAAGAGACTTCAGATACTCTACAGGTGATATTTTACTCATATCTATTGGTAGTGACATAAATGTATATAAGTATAATTATTGTTGTTATTAGAGTTTCATCGCAGCCAAAACGTTCTAAATATGTGACGATTCAATAACTGTTCAAATGCATTCAATAAGCACTTCACTTCACATTAAAAAAGTTAAAAACATGTGGTCAATACCCAGGTGATTTAAAGAAACAAAAAATAATTATGAATGTTTCTGGACTTGGATTACTATGTGATTTGCCCGTGGGAGATTTGACGACACAATAATGTGGAATATGAACATCCAGGTGATATCACCCAGACGATTAAAGTGGAATAAACCATAGTCAATGTAACCCGCATATGATGTTACTTCACGCAGGTGAAAGAATTTTCAAAATTGGTCCAGTAGTTAGCCTTTTCAATGCAGACAATCAAATTCATCTTCTTTATAATATTAGTATAGATAATTAAAAATGTTAGTTTAGAATCCAATCTTAATATTGATGGAAAATGTACACATGCAGAAGCAGGACTCGAGCATGATCCAGATGCTGAAGAAACGTTTGGAGAGTGCGATGCAGTCTGAAGTGGATCTGCAACAGCAGTTGCAGGAGGCACGGAATAAAATGCAGCATTTGCAGCGACAACCCGCCGCAGGTGATGATGCGCTACGGTCACAGCTGCAGCATGAGGTGATTATACATATTCTTAATGAAAAATGCTTTAAAAAAGTTGGAACATTTATCATTCATTAAATTCGAACCTAATAACTGTTCAATATTGTATTGAACTTCAATATTTCTTATTTTTGAACTTTCATGGTGATAGTGTTCTGTGCTTTGTTTAATATAAGAGATATATTCAAAAGAGGAAGTAGTTTTATGTACTTTCTTTTCTAGTTCTCTAGTTCCTTGATATGTTTTTATATTTTTGCAATAAATACTGAATAAAAAAATGCGATTTCAATTGTCACGTTTTCCATAATAAATAAAATAAATATTCTGAATGTTACTATTGATATAGTTGGAGAGCAACGAGCGTCTCCGCGGTGAGATGTCATTGTTGAAGTGTAAGATGGAAGTGGAACGTGCACGTGCGCAAGACGCGGAGACAGCACTACAGCATGAGAGGAATCGAGCAATTAGACAACAAGACAGCCACCAGCACAACACCGATGTGCTGCACAACGAGCTGGCAGATGTCAACAGGTTACATTACACCTAATAAATATTTAAAATAAAAATAAATATTGGACAATATCAATACATGTAATTGACTACAAGCAACAAAATTAAACTAATGCAACATTGATCAAATATAATAATCATACATATTGCTCAGATTCCAAGATAAAATTCCTAGTATTCTAGAGTATTGTGAAACAACAAAAGTCACAAAGCCACAACATCCAGATCTGAGTCAAGATACCAAAGTTCATTTTCTAATTCTACATTAACCTGATCGGGAACCGAACCGGGAACTAAATCCTGAAACCAATACGCAAACCACTCGGTTATGCAGATCTGCACTTTCAAACACTTTTTTTAAATGACTATTGCCTATCTCGGCTTCGCACGAATGGGTTTACCTAACTACTAATACTACTGATGAAAGAAATGAGACTTATACATAAAATTCACTCTATCAACACTGACATTTATTTTATTAATCGCAGTGACGATCAATCTATTAGTTATATTAAAATATTCTTCATTGGTTCCAGTTTTAATCATCATCAACCCTTTTACGTCCTTACTGCATGGGCTCAGGTCTTCCTTATGGATGGTATAGGAGGATGGGTCGTGACCCTCCACGCTGGCCCAATGCGGATTAGAGATTATTAACGACTGCAAATGCAGCCGGAACCCACGGCTTAACGTAAGGAACGTTAAGCCGTGTCAAGCACGGAGTAGCTTGAGATAATATTTTTTTTTTGGTCACCCATCCCGTGACCGACCATTGCGAAAGTTAACAACAATGATTGCGGGTCGCGATGCTTATCCTCTACGCCACTGAGCTACTCTGTGTTAATATTGTAGTGAAATATGTTTTTTTATTATCTATCTAATTACGAATTTCTTACAGGTTAAAACATGAAATAGGCGTTGAGTTACTGCGTGCGAAGGAATTACTTAATATACAGAGTCAAACTATATCTGAACTAGAGAAGAAACTCGTTCTGGCTAATAAACAGAAGCCGTTCGCCGATGCAGTGGTAAGTTCTTGTTTTAATGTTCTCTCAACCAATATATAAATAAAAATCTATCCAAAGATTGACAGGAAGAAATGGCTATAATCGAAAACGCCCTTGTACTACCCTTACAAACTGATATTTGCACTACCTTTTGTCAATTGTGGTGTGAACAATCAAAAGCACGTCTGGTTATACAAATCTTTTTTTCTTCATTTTATTTTAAACGCTGATAAATATCAGCGGATATATATCTTAATATATATCGATTGATTTATACGTTGGTATATATCAATTGATTTATACGTTGGTATATATCAATTGATATTTATAATGTTAATTGTTACTTTGAGTTTGAGTATTGAGTCTCAGCTAGAAAATTAATCAACCGATGTGATGCTGGCAACATTGGCCCGAAGTAGTAATCTTACTAGAAATTTCGGGTTTTCCTCTATACGTTATTGGAAATGCTCGCTTTTACTTTTTAATTATTTAAAAAAAATAAACAAATAATAAATAACTCAAACACGATCTTTTTTTTTACACTTTTGATTTAAAAGAACAAAATTCATTCACCACTAGCAGCTCAAAGATAGCATGCATGATATATATCGGATATTTTGATATTTATTATAAATGTCAGATTTTTGTGAACTCTGTTTTGTTTTATATCCGTAACGTTTGTTATTGTAGGCGGAAATGGAAAGACAAAAAAGAGAGATGGCGCGTGAACTCGCTATTTTAAAGAAGAATCTGTCCGATGTTTACGCCTCCCATACGCCTACACCGATAACGAACCAGCAACCCGACCGCGACCAAGCAGTGAGTACCGCATGTAGTTCTCTTTAAGATGATTTTAATAAACCACTACCATGGGCGTACTTCGCATTGACTTAGAGGTGGAGCAAAAGTAAATAAATAATAACTTACTAGTGTTCTGGCAAATACTAGTTGAATTTTTTGTCATGCAATTATCTATACAGATATTATAAAGAGGAAAGATTTAGACTTGAATAGGCGAAAATACTGAACTATTTTTTTTTTATTCTTTTACCTACGGGAAGCTACATCATACGCGGGTGAAATAGGCTATAATTTACGAGGCTTATAATTTAAAATCGCGGGAAAACAATTAGTATTAAAGTTGTGGTCAATAACACTAGCCTGCCCTTTTTAGTGCGGGGTGGTTGGAGAGCCCTAATTTAAGGCTTAGGGTGCTTTCCCCTGTGTTATCAAATAAAAAGGATAGGGCAAGTGTCCTACCTTTGGTACGCCCATGACCACCACTCCTGTTTCTTTATCATTATTAACTTATACTACTATGGTGAGCCACAAAATGCGGTCGCTAGTAATAAACGTTAGTAACTCATAACTTTGTTCATACACTTATTTCATACAATATGACGCAAAAGCTTGCCTGCAACTGTTTGTGGTCACAAGTGGCCACGTATGTAGCAGCGTTTAAATTCAAAATGGTATATATACTCTATGTGCAAATTTATCAGAGATATTACCAAGGATGAATGTTACGGTATTGTTTACCGCATCATCGACGTTGTAGTTAGTCACAGTAGACTAGAATGATTGTGTTTATAAATGGAGTTTACGAGTACAATGATATTAAATTGTCTACCAATTATTTGCAGTTTCATTTATTTTTTGATTGAATCGCGTATATTCCATCAATGGATTGAAAAATTACTTAATATTTGTGTAAAATATGCTAATGTACACGAATTGACATATAATGTGAACAAGACTGAGCTTATGATATTTGGACAAAACAGGATAAATAACTTTAGCCCAAAAATTTGTCTTAACGGTTCTGTCATAAAACAGGTCAGCAAGTTCAAATATTTAGGTCACATAATAAGAGATGATTTAAGTGATGATGATGATATGGAACGTCAGAAAAGAAGTATTGCTGTTAAAAGTAACATGCTGGCTCGTAGATTTTCTAAATGCAGTAAAGCCGTGAAAGTCACTCTTTTTAGTGCCTACTGTCAGGCGTTTTACACCAGCCAGCTGTGGACAAATTTCACGCAACGCGCCTATCATGCGTTGCGTGTGCAATATAATAACGCTTTCAGAGCAATGATGAACCTGCCATGGCGGTGTAGCGCGTCCGGCATGTTCTTCGACAATAGGGTTGATGATTTTTTTGCAATTATGAGAAAAAGGGCTGCCGCTTTCAAAGACAGAATCAGAAATACCAATAATAAAATCTTACTATCAATCTATGACTCATGTAAAATGATTATATGTGATTTATGAGCGATTCTATAGAATGTATTAATTTAATGTTTTATTTATGTTGTTTTTAATTTGATTTTTAATTTTTTTAATATGATCTTTAATTAATCTTCGCGGCATTTAGATATGACGATGATTTAATGTATTTTAGATAATTGTAATGAATTCACTTATTATTATTATTATTATTTGTTTATATTTTTGATTTTAAAATTTATTGCATGTTTTAATTTTCAATTTTATTTATTTGTATAAACTAAATTTTGATTTGTGTATATGAGTGTTAATGCTTGTAATAAATGTAATAAATAAAAAAATAAAATAAAAAATGTATAAAAATTGCAGGTCTCGTAGATCTATAAAGAATAAAAATATAAAAAGAATTGAACGAATAATTAAGCTTGGAAATAAATTTCGAAAATGCCTTTTTTCAGTCTGTGATGATCCAGATTACCATAACGATTCCGAACCATTTCCGTTACTTGGGTAACATTAGCTATATCTTTCTTTTAATTTAATAATGAGCAACCATTTAACATACAGTTCATATCAATCACAAATCAGGTTATGAAGTTTCTCAGTGAATCACCGGGGTGGAAAAGCGGTGCGTCGATTCCTTTTCTACAAACATTTAAACTATTTAATGATTCAAAATAAATTTATTATATAAAGATATACAAATATATTCAAAAACACCCGTATAAGGTTATCAAAGTAGCAGTCAACGTTTGAGGCTAGCGTCAGTATTGCTCGGGTCGTCGGTATAATTGGTGACGTTGAGTACGTCTTGTAGAGTTGCATCATCGGGACAGAGGGGTTCTATGGCCCACAGCGCGGCGGCGTACACGGCGTACAGTACTCCGTACAACGCGTACAACGAGCCAGTCACGCAAGCGAATATTATGGGATATACGCGTTGGTTCATATCGGTTTCGGCTCTCCACGACTCCTCTGTCCAGTTTCGGAAATATTGGCACAGTTTCCTGTTAAGCAATATGCGAGTGTTATTTTATTATGATTTCTAACTTCAAAGCGTTTCTTAACAAACTTTATATAACTTAGGTTTTCACTAGAAACCTAAGTTATATAAAGTTGTTTTATGAAGACCGCATTTTTTAATTTCCAAGGTGACCCCGCTTTAATAGTCATGATTACTACAATGTGTTTTCTGTGTATGGTGTACAAATAGCAACATTTTTAAAATAGTAAAAGTAACTTGAAAAAAAAAAACAATGGCTACAGTAATATTTTTTTTTAACGAAGATGTTAATGTACTTTCTTCTAACATGATTAACAAGGACAAGTATATTTCGCTGTTACTTGAACAATTTCTAATAGAAATCGAAAATTATACATTATTAATAAGGGATCATTAACTTGTAGTATCAAGGTCTGCTAATTTTGTTTGACGAGTTGTCCAAATGTAATTTAAAATGTTAGTACTTAAGTGGGGGCAGCGCACGCTCCAGCACTGCGGCGACGCAGTGCAGCACGTGTGTCAGCACCAGCACCAACACCCACACGCACAACAAGTACGGGGGCCATCTAAAACTGCCCATCGCCGCTATACACAAAAACAAATATTTAAAGTCAAGATATAAAAATGAATACGAGATATGCTTTTTATCGATAGAAATGCAATAATTGGATCGGTCAGTTTCAAGCAATTTAGTGACCGTGTAGTAGTTACAGTTTAATGCAAAATATACTATCACGAGCTTTGTGCATTTATGGTCTCTCTGGGGTAATATAACAATGATAGAAATTTTTCGTGCTGTCTGTCCTTTAGATCTTAACCGGTGGTCCCCTGGCACTCTGAGACTTATTTTATATTTTCACACTTCATTTACACAATTAAAAATGTACAAAGGCAGATGATGATGTGTTACTGTAGCCTAATGTAGGGCGACTGTGTATATTATTATCAAATTAAGTGGTTCGTTTTGTAGCTGTCCCAAATGGTGGTGTTCGCCCGCCCTTAGAAATGCCTGCAGACTATTGAATCCAGATAAAAAGTTTGATTAGGCTTTCAATTACTACTGCGCACTTCCACACATTCCTTCTATAAAAATGAGTTCACTCATTCTCATTTGTTTTATAAAAATGAGGTCACAATATATAACCTTGTAATAGTGCTCGATCGTTAGGTGCGTCGGTGCGGACTGCTTCTAGTGAGCGTGCCAGTACTGGCCGCCGAGTCTGCAGGGCACGCGTCTCATGCTCAGATCGCGACGACTGTCAATCCAAAAAAATAGATTTGCAAAACAGTGCTGCATTCTATAAATTATTTCTTACGTTACATAGCATCAAATGGTTTTTGGTGAATATATGAGGATTTGAAGTGACTTTTAAACATGATTTAAGTATTTTGTACATACAATGCAAATGTGAATTATATATTTAGATTTTGGGGCGATAAAAATGAAAAAAATAGTAGTACATTAGCTCCCAAAACACTCCTTATCTGGTTATTCGACGTTAATTTTATTATAGTTACCGATTTTGACGACAGCTAAAATTTAACTGTCTATTTAAAAAAAATGGTTTTGTTAGCAAAAGTAAAGTAAATCACCAAAAAAAGGAAAACCCCGACATAAATTGACTAAAATAGAAAAACATTGTGCAATTCCAACAATACATCCATAAGCCTAGTTGATCTCTTGCTTTTTGTCATTGTATATGTACATATACACGGTACCGTGGGTGATATTCTGGCGTAAGCAATGGGCGCTCCTTCTCTTGGTTTGTCCTTGTCTTCCGACTTTACTTCTTTCACGTTTAATTCGGTCTTCGTGAACGAAGGATGGTCGCCGCACATCCTAAGAAACAATCAGTTTACCAATCACGTGTATCGTGCGGGCAATCTACTAGGAATCCACTAGAAGGATATGCCTGCGGACTTCGCTACTATAAGTCTGTACTGTATGCTTACTTGTAGTAAAAGACCGTCACAGTAATCACACAGACCATTATCATTATATTACCATGCTCGTCTAGTGAATTCCTCACTTTAGGCGAAGACAATTTAATTTACTCGTTATTTACATGCATTTGTATTGTATGGGTTTCAAACCAGAGATGGCATAAAATAACCTTGGTTAACTAAGACATTTTAATAATTTTTTATCATTTATTAAATATCATTCAAAAATCAGTTAGAAACGCTATTCGCCCGCGGCTTTACTTGCATGGATTTCAGTTTTATCCGTGATGAAAACTATACTATGGCCTTTCTTAATGTCCATTATCTGTGTACCAAATTTCATTAAAATTGTTTCAGTAATTTAGGCGTAAAAACGTAACAGACAGAGTTTCGCACATATAATATTAGTATTGATTTAAAATTAAGATTAGAACATGTAATCTTAAATCCCGCACGTAATGAATGTTATCGTTGCAGGATTATATTTTAGCTGTACCTATTATCACACATACATAGCAATGGAAGATTCCCTCATTTAAACTCATTGATTAAATAATGATATTTTTTGATAAAGGGTATAAGAGATAAAGCAATTCGAAACCTATTATTAGTTTTTTGCATAATTCTTGAAAAAAAAAAGGTAAAATTCTACTTACACCATGACTGGTAACTTTGGTGCGTCGCCGCTAAGTGGTTCCATTGCATCTGATTATACTAGTCACTATATTATCATTATAAATAGCAAGGTTACTTTTGATATTTCAACGAGGATTATTTTGGGTACGCGAAGTCGTAGCGGTGATTTTATGTCATTTTCGCGGTAAATGTCACGGATATAGCAAATGTCAAGAGATTCGAAGTTTAAAAACTTTTTATTTCAAAATACATGGCTAAGTTGTATAACAAAACTTTTTGATATTTATATTATATTAAACTATGGTTCTCATTCAAAAGAGTTCAAAGGCGTCATTAAACCTTAAGCGAAATTGTGCAACTGACTGTATGTCCCGTAAATTCTCATTCAAAAGAGTTCAAAGGCGTCATTAAACCTTAAGCGAAATTGTGCAACTGACTGTATGTCCCGTAAATTGTTAATGCGCTGGTACCTTGACCGACCCGTTCTCCCTATTGATTTCATTCACGGAGGCTTGTGCGTTCTCCCAGATCTGTGAATATCAATAGTCTGATTATAATGATGATAGCCACGTAAGATTCAAACCTATTTCCAGCACCTGAGACGAATAATGTTTTAAGTATTATTCTATAATATAAATATGTATCACCATAACATTGTAACAGCAATATTTATTAAAAAACTCTTTTGTTGTGCAGGTGCGGTATTTGCATGGTCGATGTTTACGTCTAGAGAGCTGTCGTAAAGCATTGGTGTGGCAGAAGCGGTATCTGCAGCGAGTGTTGGCCGGTCACCAAGCGCTCGAGAGACAACTGAGACCTCGCGTCCCAGATACACCGCCCACCAACAGGCGATTCAAGTGAGCCATATAAAGTCATATTTAACTTTACTGTATACATTATCTAATACAAAACAAAGTTGCCTATAATTTTTGGTTTATCCATATTAGTGTAGCGGTATTATATTATGACGTCATATGGTATAGGTGCTTAAATATTCTGCTAGAATATATTAATTGATTTGATCCATCCTGTACCCCATGGGAAACCATATTACACTGTGGGAATATTTATAGTCTGTAGACCCTGATGATGAAATGATAATCGCTCTAGACAAAATAATGTTACAGTTGCCCATAAACAACAGCATATTAGCTTCCTATCAAATAGTTTAGGTAAGAAAAAAATAATTGGAGGATTTTTGCCTTTTTTTTATAAAAAAAATTGTAATCTTATTAACTGCTTTGATTTTGCAAAAATATTTATCGTATTTTGGTGATAATGAAGATATAATTATACAACCATGAAAAAACAACTCAACATTATTTATATTATAACTTGTGTTTATTATTGTATAACGTTGTTAATATTGGAATCCAGATGCGTGGCGCTGGCGGTAGTGGTTGTACTTCGTATGGGATTCTTGGTTCGTCGCCGCCATCATATGCGAACACTCTCCGCTCAATGTATATTGCGGAACACCACCAATGACAATAGGAATACGTTAGTATACTATAAATCAATAAGTAGTTCGGTGGCGTACAGGATAAACGCTGCGGCCCGCGATCGTTGTTGTTAAGCAACTTTCGCAAGGATCAGTTACTGGATGGGTGACCAAAAAATTATAATCTCGAGCTACTTCGTGCTTCGGAAGACATGTTAAGCCGTTGGTCCCGGCTGCATTTGCAGTCGTTAATACCCTGCTAGTGATTAATAATATAGATGAATAATTCCTAGTCGTCGTCCATCGGCTCCGTGGCTAAGGGCAACTAGGGAGAAAATATCCACACAGAAAAATTCTTACATATTTGAAAAAAAAAAAACAGAAACTGTTTTCGAAACGCTAATGCGACGGAGGTAGGAATTGATAACCACACATTCGTGATACGAATATGATTTTAACAAAATTATAAGAACATATCCCGAGATTTCGTACGTGAACAAATGGAATAGCCCTCCGGTTATGATAATTATTTCAAAGTGATCAAGTTACTTATTATTGTTATTTAATTTTTTTTTGACTTAATAATGCAAATGAACTGTACTGAAAATTACTGTGCTACTTTTATTATAAGTCAGTAAACGCACAGCTATTGGTAAGTTAAAATATAAACTTACACCATGTAACTCTGGTAGGTTATTGGATTTCTATGCTCATTCTCAGCACCTGCCAAAGTTACCAATAGAGTATTCCAATGTGGTAATCAACTCTACAATGTTTTTTATTACAGAAGTATGAATGAAGTTGGCGCAAGCCCTATATCCAGTCGTGATGTCCGAACACGAGATTTACGGATACCGCTGCCTGCTTCGCCGTTAAGTTAGTCATATATATATTTTAACTTTTACTGCTTACTTGATATCAACAACTTATTTTGTATACTAATAATATTATATGTGTACTATGGTTTATGATTAATTTACGTGCTCGATACCATTGGCACCAAAAAATGATTCCATTTTGATTATTTTTTTTTATGTTAAAATTTATAGTTGTGTAATTAACTGAGTGAATATGAATACAAAAATTAATATTGTATTCTCAATAATGATTCAATTCGTACTTTATAGTGTTCGTAATAAGGCTCTTTTTTTTTTTTTGTTAATTTTACGATATTATAAATTTTTTTTTTGCAGTCGGAGATTTCGTACGGAGAACATCATACAGCGTGAGTTCACCCCGCGAAGAACCTTTTATATTGAGGTAATTATACCAGCTAGTGCAATGGTTTTTCTACATACATTGAACAAAAACTCTTTATTTATGTACATTTAAGCAGGTACTAGATAGTATCAAGTAGGCGGTCCATTGTCAGATAGAAATTCAAATGGTTTCATAATGACTTATGAACTTCTGAGCTAGGGTAACCTAAATGTATTACTAACCTTCGATTTATTTATTGGCTTATTTAAATAAAACGGAAGCCACAGAGAGAGTTCCCACTACATTTCCATTAAACTTCAGATATTATGAAAGAAAATCTTAAATAATATAACTTAAATTAACATTGTTTAGTTCCGATCGCGGTGAGGGAGCGGCGTACTGCAAGTTGCAATTGGTGGGCCGCGGGTTATCGAGAGACTTGCCCTGAACCACATAACGTAAATGCGAATTGTTCGCATATTTTAACATTCATTATATATTACTCGATTGGAGATCGAGAAGACTGAATATATTTCACATACATACGCGTGGACCGTGTTATACAGAAGTGTCACTAAATCGTTTGATGTTTTTTTCGTACATTTTTATTTGCAGATGTTAATATTTGATAATAATGTTTAATTTTGACGCAAAAAAACATAAATGACATTTGGTAATTATGAAAAGTTTTGGTATTGGCTCGCTCTGCATGACGCGGTCCATTTAAGATAGACATCGGTGAGGTACACGACTTTATTTAATTTTGATTTCGACAATTATTGATGAATTTACATTAGACATATCGGTTCAATGTACCACACGGTTGCGGACCTTTTAATGTTAATATAATTCTTGTGTTGATTTATAATAAACTTTAAATTTTTTATAATATTTACATTGTGAACATCACGAGGTCGTCCTTAAAGAATGTCGCATTTTATTATTTGTATGCATTTCCTGACGTTTAGTATTAGCGTAGTGCCAAATTTTTCGTACGTTAGTTAATTTTGTGTTACTTAATTTATTTATTATTATTTCGTGTTTAGGGTGTAAATTTAAGATGAAGTACCCAATTCCATATTTTCAATTCTGATTGTTGCCGTTTTGTTTATTTTCTTTTTTTTATATTTTTTTATGTGAGTTGAGTGTTCGAGGTGTCTTATGTAACGCTCCAGTATTAAAGGAGGGTAGTAAGTAAAGTAGGGTAATTTTTATCTTAGACACTGCGTGTCGTCCTAACTTGCCTTAATACAAACAAAAATATATCGATTTATCATAGAGACAGAACGAAATGTATTTTTGTCAATAATTTAATATTTTGTACAAAAATAAATCTATAATGTATTTTCGCATTAGGATATTTAATTTTTTAATAATGTAAGTTTAATTTACGTATCAATAGAAAAATTAATACAGTGTTGGAAATAAATTAAAAAATATTTATAATTAAAGTTGATAAGCATTACAGCATAGATTAAAAAATAAATATTGAGTTGGTTACAAAATTAAAAAAAAGTGTTCTTAAAAATTCTAAACACTGCACTTCTCTTGGTTTGTATTGCTCGCTATCGTAAAATAGTGGAAAACTATCAATTTCCTTCAATATTAAAAATGCTAAAATTACATGAATACCGCCAGCAAATTCATCCAGGTTAGCATGGCTGATCATAAATCGTTCATAATCTTATACTTAAGCACATAGTTATTTAAAGCACATATATTTGTCTATTTAAATTAAAAATTTCTATCATTGACACGTAAATTCTAGTTTATAAATTCCTATAGCACAAATTCATGCCATATGTTGTAGCCATTAAGTTAGTTTTATATATTGATTTGTCGACACAAGATAGTACAAGTTAGTATAAGTTAGTTAAGCGACCGCGACACGAAGTCTCGATCGAACATTTTCGAATATTGTGAAGCCGTCAGAGCAGTTGATTTTCTCCGCAAAGTTTTCTGAAATGTTAGGATCCTAAGCATTGAAGCCATAAATGAGATCATAATTAGGTGTCTATGGTTAACAACGGGTGCTATTTTGTTATTTATTTGATTCTATGTAATTGTATTTAATGCTATATATCCCATATTGCTAGTGGGTCGCAAATTAATATTTAGAGGGCCCTGATGAGGGATTAACCACTGTATAAGATATATGTCCATGTTTTAATCCCACCGTGCGAAGACTTTGCCAAAGAAGTTATTTTAATGTTGGATCGGAACTACCAATTTTAATGACTTAAAATATTGTGGGATAAGTCAACTGCGCTGTAGGTTCAAACTGGAAATCAGTTGGTATTAGTAGATATTCAGTTGGATTCTTATCAGAATAAATCATATAGATCTGATGTTCAGTTTAATCTTAATAAATAAAGCTTTAATTAAAATTTTAATACCAACTGGTGAGACGATATGACAATATTGTAAGCCAAAGCAATCGAAGTATTATGAACGCTGTGGTCCAAAAGATTCCAATTTATCATTAGCACGGCACAAATATTTAAAGTGACATGACAAAACGACACTTAGTTAAGACTTTCTACACTCATTGTGACCAAAGATTTGATTTAATTTAGTGATTGCTAGTTTTATTATTGATGTCTAAATTTAGAGTTAAGCTAATTAAACACCGATTAGGACGTAAATGTAACATTTATTCGCTGTAAAATTTCACATATTACGATTTTGACATGAACACTATCCACCATAATTCTCTAGTCACAATCTGTCACATTCGTGCCATACAAACGCCCTCTAAAGACAGTTCAGAATTATCTATCTCCATTAAGAGAATGCCATTGTTAGTTTCGTTAGAGAACATGTTAAGTAACTAAACTATAAAGCGATTCGTTAATGGGGAGAGGTAATTGCGGACTGGTGTTAAAATATTATAAAAAAAACACGTCCTAAAAGTTGATAATACAAATAAACTATAAATATTTTGTAGATTTAGTTTCATTTCACCGTCACTGCTTTAGGTCGCACCGACAACTTTCAGTTCTGCAAACTCCCTGCGTGATCGCAGGCAGCAGAATGTGTTCCTGCGAATTAATGCTAATATTTTATTTCCTTTATTTTATTACAAATTTTGTGTTATGATAGCAATACGTGTCGCCACCTCTGTGGTCCCGGGTTCCCGGTCGGGTCAATATAGAAAATGGACTTTTCTTCATTAACTCTGGTCTGGGTGTTGTGTTACCTTGTCGGGGGCTTTAGCTACTTATGTTGGAATCTGAGCAATATATGTGATTTGGCTATATTAATAATAATATTATTAACACGTGATACGAATTAACACTTTTGCCTAAGGTACAACAAATAACGCATCCTCCTTAAATATGATTTGGACGTTATCGGCTTTCGTAGTATATGAATGTTAGAGTCAATGTCATGGTTGCTATGTAGTTAGAACAAAACCAAAGTTTGTATTTAAGGCAATATGACAATTTTAAAATAATGAAAAAGGTTTTAATACGTTATCCGGTCGGCGCTGCAGTCCATTGGCACGACTTGCCCTCTGGTAGTCTACATTAGGAACAGAATCATTTGGAGCAGCATCTTTTGGTGCAGCTGGAAGTTTCACCTGAACAGCGCAGATTTTGATTATTATTATCATCACCAATTATCAATAATAGTTGTAACGTCGAAAATATAATTTTTCTAAGTGAAACTTGTGGAGGTTCTATCATCCTTTAGTAAAAATTCAATACGCTGCGTAGAAAATTATTTAAGGGTTTTATACTATATATGTGTCATTGGTCCCGACTGCAATTACATATGCACTGGGTTATGACCTATTATTATCTATCTATAGGGAAAATCCTGAGCCACAGCAATCATAATATTTGCCAAGATGTCGTATCTTATAGCTAGAGAGTTAGGCAGCCTCACCCCTGGTCGGGAATAAAGTAGAATGGTGCAATGTATATTCCTAACCTGGTTGGGATCTTGTAGACCATCTCTCTTGTGGGCGTCGGTTGTGACAGCATCAGTTTCATCGTCATCGTAGACGGAGTGAGGGGGCGGGGGCGGAGGTGGCTCCCGGTAAGAGGGGTGGGGCCGCGATGTGTCTGTGGGGGCGTAGCGTCCGAAATGCTCCTGTTGCGACTTCGGTAGTTCCGGCATCGGGTATAGACGATACATCTTACAGTAACGCTGCCGAACAAATTGTTTGTGATAAAACTATTCTGGAGTTAATTATCTAAAAAGTAAGCCGTTTTATTCCTGCATTGTTTAAGAAAGAAGGTAACGAAAATAACCGGTGTTAGTTGGGCTGTAAATAATGGTCTATGTACGGGAATTGCTTTGATCAAAGTTTATGACGTCATTGAAAAATTTCCTTATACCAAGACAAAAAAAGCTTTTTCTGTATTGTAACGCTGTATTCTGTCTGAGTTTAAACCATTTATTTTATCATTGAAACACTAATTTATTCTTGTAAGAAAATATGGCTTACGTCTACGGCCCGCAGTATGGGGCGTTCGGGTCGTCCGTGTGCGCGGGCTTCCTCTACAAGTGCGTTAGCGTATGTAAGCAGCTTGTTGTCAGCGTGTCGCAGTCTACTCTCTGCCAACTCTCCATAGAAGTATCGAGTCTCGGCTCTCTCGCGAGCTTCGCGCTCATCCCTCTCTCGCTATTAATGAAATAAAAGTGACATTTAAGTTTATTTAAGAAAATAATGTATATATGTACTCACGAAATATTATACGGAATCTTACGGTATTTTTTGTGGATAATAGAGCAAACATTAAAAGTAAGGCAAATACAGGCTGGATATTTATTTTTAATTATATATTTTATAAGGCACTACTTACCCATAATTTTAAGATATCCTCTCTGTACTCCTTGATCTTACGAGCCTTCTCTTTGCGTAAGTTATCTTGGAAATCTTCATAGAGTTCTGCATTTTTGAACCTGAAACCCGCAAGAAATCTCAAATTAGATTAATTTAATATAGTAAAATGTACTTTTATCAAATATCAATATTCCTAGTATTGTGAATGCAAAATTGATCAAATATAAGAAACAATTAGATAATCAGCCCTGTGATTCTGTAAAAATCCAAACCCGAATACGAAATCATTCAGGTGTCCGAATTCATTTCAAAAAGCGGCATCCGCTAAACCTTGAAGTGATAATAGCGTTCCGCTAAGCCTTGTAGTGGTAATAGCGTTTCGTGGCATAAATGAAGTGATTTTCGGAATGACATAGGAATAAAATATCTGAGAGACGTATAATCAATTTTATTTTGTATTTTTATACAAAAAATGGAATTGATAGAATTTCTACAGCCAATGACGTGAATTTGGACATATGAGTGAATTTGAGATCGGGTCTGGATTTTTACAGAATAGCAGGGTTGATGTAAAATGTTGCACTTTTTCACTTTGGGTCACGAACACGTGATCCTTTTTTATGACGACAGGGCGTGTCGTTTACCCTATCGCAGTTTATAATTGTAGTTGCTACAAAATTTCGATCTAACAGCAGACGAAGTCTGTAGGCTAGAGCTAGTGTATCATGAAACTGACCTATTCATGATGTCCCACTGACGCATGGTGTTGTATTCGTGCAATCGACGCGCTTCATCCTGCAGGAACTTGTTGCGGATGTCCATCCGTTCCTGCTTAAATTGTTGCCGCTTCCGTTCGTCAGATTGACGGCGAGCTTCGGCACTGTAACATAACGTCGGCGTTGTGTTGCAATACATTACCTAGGATAAAATACGCTCATTGAGGAGCTTGACGGCGCAGTAAGTAGTAGTGCGCTCGGTCTCTTATTACGGATTGGGCACACTGTGAATCTTCGTTTGAACAAAACATCTACCAATTCCAACGATGAGTATTGTTTCAATTGCCGTGAAATATAAAATACAATGCATCAAGTGTCTCAAGCTGAGTATGAACTCAGCGGGTCAAGTGCGTGGATATTGATGGATCGCCCGCTGGCGTGATACTTGAATCATTCTGATTGGCGCTACGAAATTTTGCCTTCCGCAACATCAACATAATATACTAAAATGAACTGGCGACAACGCTTCTGAATTCCTGTTACAAGTGTCATACATAACGTTAGGTCACTACAATAGAATAATTATGCAATCAAATTTGAACTTATCAATAGAATAAAGCCTAAAATCAGTTGAAGTAATTTGACATTTTGTACCTACACTATTTCTTTATTGTATCTCATATCTTACATAGCCTGTTTCTCCTTGATGGCCTTGTCGAGGATTGCTTGTTCCTTCGCGTCGCGAGCGGCGTCGCCAGACTCCAACTTACTGCTGATCTGCTCCAAGACTCTGAGCTTTTCATCTTTTACCTGAACAACATAATAAACACGCATATCAAATTAATATACCTACTACTATGTAACTGATGGTGTTCTGTATGAAAAACATGTGAAATGCCTTGAACGCAAAAAAGTGACACCAACGTAATTCTTTACAGGTAATCTATATCAATTGTTTCTAATATAATTCGATAAATGTACCTATCCGTTACTGTACCGTTTGCTTTTGCTACGGCGACGAATATTTTAACTAATGTCACAATCGCTACATACTCTAACCAATCTTTAATGAAATCTCTTTGTTCATATTTAGGTAAAACACCTATATCAAGTAACCGGTATTTCTCAGCTACTATGTGTAGCATACTCACGTCCTTCTCTGTTTTTTTACGCTTGGCTTCAATTCTGGCACGCGACTTCACCAGTATGTCAATGAGCTTGTCGTCCAGCTGATCCCTCGCCTCCTGTTCCCGGCGGCGATGTTCGTTCTCTTGTCGAGATCTCTCCATATCCATCCAAATGCGGTTCTTCTCAGCAGCTCTCTGCGCAACAAAAATCAGTCTCAAAATGTTTTTTTATTATTTATAAGATTTATTTTATAAATGTTGTTGCTTCTGTTAGAGCTAGTGAGTTTCTTCGGCTCCTTCTGCTAATTAGCCAAACGACGTGAACGAGTAAAAAAATGTTGGACGATTCAAGAGTACTTTTTATTGACTTTGTCTCTTCATGAACGACTGAACAAAAAAATATGTCTAAGTTGAGGCATTGCGTGTAAAATTGACAAATCTTATTATTCACTGCTTCTGTACTTATTGATAAAGAATTTTTGAGAATTTTAGTAATTATTATTTTGATAGATATAATAAGCAAAAGATTTTGATTTATCTCGCTAACCCTTCAACTGAAATGCATATTTTGTACTGACGGTAGACGGTGCTCATTACGAATGGAATTCGATTAACTAATATCTAACTTGGAAGCCAAACTTACGAAATCTTCACCGAACTTCTTGATAGCGTCCATCTCTTCTTCTGCCTTGATGTTATCTAACTTTTGCATATTCAATTCAGTCTCGTATTCGGTTCTGTTCCGCTCAGATACTTCATGAGCTCTGCGATAAATCATTATAAATATTAATGTCCCCTTACTGATAAGTTTTTACAACTAATAATAATTCGAATATTAAACGACCTCCGTAGCCGAGTGGTTCGCACGCCCGGTTTCAAGATGTCGCCATATCTGAGGTCTCAGGTTCGATTCCCGGACAGGCCAATGTAGAAAATGTTTTTTTTCTATATTGTCTCGAGTTTGGATATTATAGTACCAATAATGTATCAGATACTCCATAATATGGAGGCTTTACTCATCTTGGTATGTATGTGATATTGTCTAATATTTATTTCTTTATTTTTATATAGATTAAACAACACAGGTCAATTATAACAGGTCTATTCCCGATTGATAAGTAAATATTGTTATTGTAACTGAAATAAATGGCTGAACGTCCTTCATACAATGCAGAACTGTGACATCAAAATTGTTGTAAAGGTTAAGGTTCTATGTATAAAGTAAGAAGTACTTACTGTTCTAAGATCTCTTTTTGATGCTGTTTGTTGACTTCGAAGCGTTTCGCTTTCTTTTCCTGGTTACGAGCATGCCACTCCTTGGCCTAAATAAGAGAAAATCCAGTGTTTTTTTTATTAGTTAAGGGTCTCCATATAGATAATTAAATTTTATGCTCACGGTTTTGTTTGCAAGAATGACTACATTTTAATACAAAATCCTATTTGACCTCCTTAAGATAGGAATTTTTCAAAATCCTTTCTTAGAGACCCTCTTTGAAATAATAATTCTAATTGTGCGTGTGTCAAATTTATGCTCAATCCGTCCAGTTGTTTGAGTTGTGCGTTGATAGATCAGTCAGTCTGTCAGTGGCCTGTCTTTTATACATATACATTATATATATACTGGTATATATACAGTATTTGGTTCCCAAGAGAACTTCTAGACATTCAAATCAGATGTTTGCCTGCGACTTCTACTTGTAAATTATAGCCTATGTACGATGTGTAGCTTCCCGTAGGTTAAAAAATTAAATATATAAATCAGTCCAGTAGTGTCAGAGCCTATTTACAAACAAACAAACAATCGAAACTTTCCTCTTTATAACTTTATTTGTAAACATTCTGTAGTTTTTGTCGTCGTTTTGCTTGTGTGTGTGTTTGTCGGTGCCTGTAAATCGTTTTGCTTGCTTGTGAGTGTGTTTGTCGGTGCTTGTAGTATGCTCACGCTCAGTGTTTTTATCGTTACCCTGAGTATAATGTCATCATCATCCTGCCGCTTCTGCTCGGCTTCCTTTCGCCGCAGTTCTTCCAAAAATTTCATTTGCTCCATTCGCTCTTTCTGCACTACAGTTTCAATTACGGCGCTGAAACATGTTTACGTAGTCATATTTTGAATCGACCGCAAACAGAGTTGGACAAAATACTTGTGCAATTTCAACAATCGAATTTAAGCTCCTTTCATCGTACCTACACATACGTAGATACTAAGCGTTTTTTATGAATTTATCAAATTATTTTAAATTTAAGATTTCTTCGTTCTGCAAATTGTTGTTGTAAAGTAATGCTACTTAAATTTCAGTTGGTTTTCTACAAAAAAAATAAAATAACGTACAAATAATATATAATTGGAAATGAGAAAACAACATAGATTTATTAGAGTTTTATCATATTTAAATGGTGTTTTCATAAAATTTTCTCCTATCTTCTTCGTATGCACACTCGCAGCCAATCTACAGTAGGTGTATATTGTATCTTCTCATCTAGCTAGAGTTCGCTCAGCAGGTCAATTCTGCTATTTTTGTATTAATCGCATCTCGATAGAATCTAACTACTTGTATTTTGCCATTGTACCATCTACCCAGGGGCATATCTACCGCCATATCTGCCGTATCAATTATACGATGCCCCTTACCACGGGGACCCCAACGTGTCCCAACAGCATTAATTAATAAAACCTTCCCAAATCTGTTTTATTTCAGAAACGATAAAAGTAAAAAAAAAAAACATTTATTTTTTGCCGTGTAAAGCGTGCGTTTCAAAGTTAGTAACACCCTACATCGGTTTTCGCGGGCTACGGGATTTAAACTAAATTTACTTCATTTATTTAGGTAATTTTTATACGGTGCCCCTCCAAGGCACACTACGCCACTGCATCTACCTGAAGTCCTATATTATCATATATCTGTCACAATTGATGTGTGAGGAAGACATTGCACTAATAACATTGGACTATGTACAATGGTAAAATGCAAGTCGTTGATATTCTATTGAGTGAGATGCGATTGTTACGTAAACATTAGTAGATTGGCCTGCTGTATTTTTTTCATTTATTAAGGAACAAACACTTATACATTTTACTTATCACAGTTAAATATATGTTTCTAAACCTACAGTTCCCTCAATAATAACAATCTTTATATATTTTTCTTATGTTAACCTCCGCAATTAAAGAAAGCACTCAAAATTATCAATATAAAGAAAATTAAAGTGTTTAAAAGTTACTGAAAAAAAAAGAAAATCAAATGAATAAAACATAGACAAATAATTACAACAATCTTCACTTAAACTTTATATAAGAGATCAGTGATACGATTTTTTAAATATATTTAAAGACGAGTTAAGTATTTAACATCTACCACACTCAGAGCGCTTAGTGTAAGTTTTTTTGACGTTTACGTTCACTGTCGATCGTGAGCGCGTTAAGATTTTAGTATGGAATTCGGCACAGCGCCCCTAGCGGTAACTATCAAGAACTACAAATCTCCATACAAATTTTTAACGCGCTCACTAGTGAACGCGTTAGCGTAAAACTTACACTTACCACTCAGTTTATCATTGTACAAAATACAAGCCCTCCCTATAAAGCTATTTTTAGCATAGCAAGTAATAAGCTAAAGTCCTTACCCTAGAAGGAACTTGGGCGCGTCTTTGTTTTTAAAGATGGTTTCCCTGGCGCTGTACATGAGTCGTTCCTGTTCCTCTTGTTTGTTTTTCACGTAGCGTTTGTAAAAATTTGTGTTTTTCGCTTCGGCTGCCTCCAAACGCGCTCGTCTTGCCTCCTCGTTACGTTTATTCACATTCTGTCGGGAAGTTATGCATAAGGCTGAATGTCACATGATGTCATGGAAGTAACGCTTGTTGCTAAAAAGTAGTTTGGATTAAACGTTAACTTGAAACCCTCAGACGAGCTCTGTAGCTGAGTGTATCAAATGTCGGTTTAAGGCGTCGCCATCTTTGAGATCTCAGTTTCGATTCATTTATGTAGAAAATTACTTTTTATGTGTTGTCTTGATTATGGGTGTTGTGGAACCTTCGTTGTGCTAGATATACTTCGACCCACCTACTACATAATACCTAATTAATTTCAAGAAAAATAGGTAAGGGTTTTAGCTATTTATCTTGGAAATTGAGCAATGAAATATGTGTTTTTTCCTATACCACTGCAGTGTTATAGTAGGTGTATTTTTGTGAATACAGAAAAAGTGCAAAGCGATAACAAGGACGCTTTCGATTCTGCCCGCAAAATTGTGAGCGCGAGTAGTTATATAGTAGTTCAATTTGCCCAGTTCCTTAGTATTAAGAGTATTTTGCATACATAACGGTATTTATTTGTTCTGTTCTTTTGTACCTATGTACTTTAGATAGAACCGAGTTTTTCAACTTTTTATATATCTATAAGTTTCAGGTTTGTCGTATAAATTCCCGCGACCCGCGGCTTTGTAAGGGTGCGTTAGATTGTACATTAAAAAAATATGTTGCCTGAGAAAAATGGTATCGCGTAATGGCGTTCGCTGTAATTAGTGTCTGCATAAGCACTCAACTAAAGGTAATCACGGTAAGAACCTAGGAGTACCTCTAACGAGTTCGGCCACGATTTGGTCATAGCGTTGCTTTTAGCGTCCAAATAACGCACGTACTCGCGTCGACGGACAGTTTCAGGATCCTCCTTCCCATGGTCAGCCCAACGGCCGATGCGGTCCCATTCATCCTTGCTCAGCACTATTGGCATGGCTGAAAGCAAAAAGTCACGCATTGTTCCAAAAAAGAAAAAATTAATCACTACATCGCGTGCATTTCTAATTCGTAATTTTTATTATGTGGAAAGATACGATCCGACTGTAACAAAAGATGCGACAAAAATGTGCAAGAAATTTCTGACGGTACCTATTAAATTTTTATGTCACTGAAGTAAGGAAGTCAGGCCATAAGACGTTTCAGCACTTGAACTCCGCACAGTACTGAGTGATGTATAGCCTTATTGATGAGACATATTGAATTGTGGATCGTTACTCTTGCATATTTTGTCTCGTACTTTTGTACTATATTATCTAGCGACTGATATGGCTCAGTTAAACTAGTCAATGGGGTCAGAGGGCTTAGTGTAAGTTTTTTGGCGTGTTAAGATATAGTATGGAAATCGACACAGCGCCCCTAGTTATAACGACCAAGAACTACAAATCTTCATACAAATTACGAACGCGTTAACGTGAAATTTTCACTCATTACTCTGCACGCAGAGGTCGGGCGATCTCCGCCCGCTCATCACATTAGTCAATAAAATAATGAGCGACCAATGAAAACGTGAAATAGAAATCGCCCGCACGCCACATGGGACTGTTATCGACCAGTGTAATACACTAATAAACTGAGGGTTACGTCTCCACTGCAGAGGTTCAGCCCTTCCTTATGGATGGTTATGGAAGATGAGCCATAAACATCCACGTTGGCCTAATACTATTTACGACAGCAAATGCAACTAAAAGCACCGAGTAGTATGTATAATATTTTTTGAGTCTCTGACAACTCGATATAATAATTTTTTGGTCACCTATCCCGTGTCCGACCCTTGCGAAAGTTGCTTAACAACAACGTTCGCGAGCCGCGGACGGACACTACGCCACCGAGCTACTCTACCTATCTAAATTGACAATATTTTTTGGCGGAACCCTATTGGATAACTTAAGAAACTTACTTTTAGCTTGAATATTTTCATGTGAGACTAGAAAATAAGGAACAAATCATAAATGAAAAATAGTATTGTAACCATTACGAAATCATAATTAAATGAGTTGAGTATTTTTTACAAATGTAACTTGACTTTTCGTTGATTGTAAGATTATAAGCAGGTTGAATGAGCAAAGTTTAAAAATAACGCCTGGAAATTTAAAATATCGCTTATGGTGATGGATTGCTACAGAAAATTAACACCGATGGCAGCTATTCCCGCGATAGACGAGCCGCCTTCGAGGGTTTCATCTTATAATGGACCATTTACAGGGGAGGCAGTACGGTAACTGACCTAATAAACACAGACGGTCTACTAAGTCAGGCCAGTATTCTTCGTATAAATGGAGATAATCTCGAAGCCAGTACAATGAATTAGAACGGTTTTGGCTTTTGGCTGGGCTATTGGGCTGCATAAATGTTCTATAATCCCTAAGGTTCAGGTATTATGAAATGAAGACTACGAAAATGAAATTAAAATGACAGATACCAATAACTGAATTATAAATATCTAATAAGAAACCAGTCGGAATTCATTCATAACAACTAAATACTTACTTTCTAGATTTATCGCGATTATGAAACACTTTTTAATTAATATCTGTGTTGACCGGTATATATAGCTGTTCTATTTCTTCTTCTGTTCTGTCCAAGTTCTGTCAAAAAAATATTTTACATGTCATTGTCCGAGATGAGATAAAAATTTCATGCATCTTGTGCGGAGGTCTTTGGTTGGTTATAGCCAAGAAGCTTTCGAAACTTCATTAAGGATAAATGGAAATGTAAGAAACATAAAAACAAAAATAATCTCCATAAATAAAAACCGTACAATAACATTTTGATTAATCATGATTTGTTGCTAAGGTAACCAAATATTTTTTATAATTAAATTCAACCATGACCAATATTGAATGGGAATTATAAAATGTTTTGTAAGCATAAAATTTATAATGTAATATGAACATGGCCAACGAACACTTAAAATCATTTTACATGTTTGAAAATTAAATACATTGATAAACAGACTTCTGAAAGATTTTTTAAGTTTGCAATATGTAGTCAGTGTTGTCGGTTTATTTACTGTTTTACCCCTGTTAATGTTATTTTCACTCGTAATTTTCTGTGAAAATTTGTAGAAAAAAATTCCTTATGCCACAAATAAGACATTGACAACGAGAAAAGCAAAAACGATATCATTTCATGCATAAGTACAGTACTTACTCGTTTTTATTTAAATAAAAATAATAAAACGTAACTGAACGCGACCATTTTTTCGTGCATCGTGTTCTATGAGGATGTAGCAGTTGACACGCAAAGCCATGCAAGTATGTAAATCTCGTTCTAACAATCGGTATGCTATAGATTTTCTTGGATGATAAATATTTTTGATTTTTTCGCGCTATTTGTTATTGTATTATAATATTACGGTACCACAATAAAGTTTATGCTGTTTTAAAATGCAATAACGTACGGGTATGACGTGTCTAAAAAGTCATTGCGACCAACCCATTTTGTTCTCATTTTGGCAGATCAATGGAGGTTTCAGTTATGAGTTAGAGCTACTGGATTAATTACAGAAATACGAAGAATAAAAAATGTACAATAAGTTATCTGACAATAACAATAAGTTATCTGATATAACATATTGTTGTCCATGTAGCAAATTCAATTTATTTATATCATCCAGATCTGAGCGTATTGAATTTTAGACAGTTTTTTTCATTATTAGTTTCTATTTTCATATTGCTATTTGAGTATGACAATTTATCCACTTACGAAAACTATAATTGGTTAGATATAGGGATTATTAAAAACCATCACGAATTTTGTTATAGCTTTTTTCTTTCGAAGGTCGGTTCCGATACTGCTCTCATTAACCCAGCCGACAATTTTTGTAACTAAACTAACTCTGAAAACATTATAAGAAAATGCAACCCTATAGTTTCAATTTCAATCTCTTTAGATGCCTCCCCTTCAATCCTGACAGTGGCTCACAGATCCAAAACAGATTCTATTTAATTAATTCTGTTCCTCATTATTCTATATCTAAACTAGTTATATCTCTATGCATTGTGTTGCGAAATTCTGAGTAATTTAGTTAACGATGACATATAATAAATGTTCATAAGTTTTGATAAATAAAAATGATTATTTGTTGAATTTTTCTAATTTCACAAAGAGTTTTATTATTTATAATAAATATGATGTTGCTTTTATAATTAAATAAATTACCTATTAATTTGGATAAAATCAAAGAGTTGGCAACATAGAAGTCAAAGTCAGCTGTCAGCTGTCTAATCACAATTCCAATTGTCATATACGTCAGAAATATTTACGTCAGCCACGTTGGAAGTGCCAACTTGGTGTTTTTATGGTAAATAATATATTTTATTGAGATATCTACAATATTGTATCTGAAAAACGTAACTATAACTATTAGCGAATGACTATTAGTAATATAATTTGGTACTTACAACCTAATACTAACGTGGGACTCGTTCCAAAATCGTGACATAATTAGGCGATTCTTTCGGCGACAGTTTTGAGTTTGTTTTTGTTGGTGTTCAGTGATAAAGAGGATTTATAATGAAGCTTAAGGAGTTGAAGAGGACGGTAAACCCATGCTGGTCGCCATGCGAACAGTATCCTGTGATGCTAGCTACCGGCTCAGCGGCGCAGCAGGTTGATGCTTCATTTAGTTCCACATCATTGTTGGAACTATACGGCCTCAACTTAGAGGATCCTGGACTAGATCTAGAATTGAAATCTAGCGTAGAGACGCAGCATAAGTAAGCATTTTTATTGAATATATTTATCAGTATATACATTGCATTGTAAATATAAAACTGATAAAATATAATAACTTTGTATTTGATAATATTCAGGTTTCAGAAGTTAGTGTGGTCCGGAGCTGGTGTTATAGTTGGTGGCTGTGATGGAGGCCTCCTGGAGTTCTACAGCGCTGACAAATTGTTAAAAAATGCTAGTGATGCTCTACTAGGAAGTAGCACAAAGCATAATGGTGAGTTAACACTTATTGGTGAAAAATATTACCGTGTACCTTATTTATATTGAGTTCTCAATGTTTTGGTCTTGTTTTAAGCACTATGACTAGAATTATTAAACTAGAAAATTGACCATAGTTAGCATATCTATGAGAAATTTCTTATTAACTTTTTTTTTATTGGTACAGTAGCACGTTAATTTTCATGGTGCTTAAACAGATGACTATTGAGCAAGAATGGTTATTTCATTATACACCATACGCATCTCTTAGATAACCACATGAGAAAATGTGTATATACCAAAAAAACCTTAAAGCACTATTCCTTGAAGGCATTTTCCCTATGGTTGTCAAAGAGTATAATATACTTTTGTGTTCAATCATTCACCACAACTGCAGATTAACATTTAGTACTCTTTTCTAGGCTCTTGAGACTAATAAAATATCTTATGCATTAATATCAAGTAATAAATGATGTTCTAATAATTTTTTGTCACATATCAGTATGGTCAATATTAATTAACAAATAAATGTATTAAACATTGTTTAATATTAGAAAGATATTATAGTATAAATAAGATAAATGTACTTCTGATAAAGTTATACTCAATTATGTTGAAGCTTAAATTAAGAAACTTATTATTAACTGTCAGAGACACTCTTATCTAACTTGTCTTTTTCATAAGATATCTTTTCTCAGACTTTATTTCACAAAGAAATGGTACTCTATTTTATAGTTGGAAGAAAAAAAGTGAAAAGGTTATTATTATTTATTATATGTATAAGTTATTATTAGTTTATGCATAAATTATTTATAAGCAGTTTAGATTTTACAAGTACAAATACCAATTAATACAATATAAAAAATATTTTGGGTTGTCTCCCATCACTCATAAATCAATAGTAATTGTCCATAGGAGATCTATTGTAGATAAACAGCCAGTTGCACAAACATCCACAAAAGTTCATTAGTATAAAGCAATATTACCCATTCGAATTTGACATCCATTAGAGCTTAAAGACGTCATTAACCTTAAAAGGCGTCATAAACCGTCAAAACCCTAATGGATGTTTGGACAACTGACTGAAAGAGCAGTAAAAAGAGATAAGAATCCAACATTGGGCATGAGAGCAGTTTTCACATGCGTATCTTACATAACCTCTAACCGTTCTTTAATCACATTCGTCCCTTAAAGGCCAGCAGCGCGCTTGTAGCCTCTCTGGTGTTGCAGGTGTCTATGGGCGACGGTGATCACTTACTATCAGTTGATCGGTCTGTTAGTCTGCCCCCTATCCCATTAAAAAAAAAACAATTATGGACCTAAAGGCCTGTAAGTAGTGTTCAAAATTGATTGTGTAAATCTGACATGTTGGGGTAATCTCAATGTAGTGTGAGACCATGATCCATCTTCAAATTTTAAGGTAATCTCAGGTTAATAAGTTAATTGGCAATATCTTCATTGTTAATGCCTATTATTGGTATTGGTTTTTCAATAAAATGCAGTTACCAACCAATTTGGCTCATGGTGATTCTTCATTTGTGCAGAACAGGCTTACCAATTACAAAGATGACCAAATGTATGATTAAATTTATAATGATTCTTGTTGCTATGAGCATAGAGTGTAAAATGCAATTAATTATGTTTTTGTTTCACTCACACTTATCAGGGGTTTGGAGCGTAGTCGCCCGATGACGTGATACTTGAATCATTCTGATTATTCAGGATTTACTGAACTTCTAAAATTTGTTTTCTGCAAAACATTTTTATTTTCATGTTTCAGGTCATGTTTCCGCACTGGATATTAACCCTTACCAGAAGAATCTTTTAGCTTCCGGTGCATCTGATAGTGAGATCTTTATCTGGGATCTGAACAATACCACACAGCCAATGGCGCCTGGCAACCGAAGTCAGCCTCATGATCATGTGCAAGGCTTAGCATGGAATCAACAAGTCAGTAAAATGACAAAGACCTTAAATAATTATTTTAAATTAAAACATAAACTACTAGCTGTTAATGCAGTTTGCTAGAATATATCATGGAAAAGTTTGCTATAATAATATTCTTAAAGTTCATTTTCGAAGAGATAATTTATTTCCAGTAAATTTGAATAAATAAATAAAAAATGTCACATTGAATATGTTTGTGTAAATAAATGTTTAGATTCTTTAAACCACTGTTGTTTTAGGTTCAACACATTTTGGGTTCAACATTTGCCACAAGATGTGTTGTTTGGGATTTGAGGAAGAATGAACCAATTATGAAGTTAAGGTAAATAGTATGGATAATTATATCATTTTATCTTTGTTTTCATATTTATTATTTATTACACTGCCTGATATTTAATTCCAAATGTCAATAATTATGAAGGTCTAATATTACTAATGTAAAATATTATTAATTAATTCTTCCATGGGAATGTTGGTTTCCGATTTAGTTGATTCTTAGTTGTGTAGTGTAGTTATAATTTCTATGAATTAACATGGCACATGAGTACCTATTCTATTTGTCCTCGAACAAAAATTCGTAAAATTTTGAATTAAGCTAATAATTTTGTGAAACACAATACCGTTAAGATTATCTGTGTATCCGAGGCAGTGTCAGGTAATACCTCCGTTGCATTATAAATTATGGAACAATGCCTCTTTTTGGAGTTGTATCAGCATTTTGAGAAAATACGAAATTTTAGATTTATGAAATTAAAAAGACCTTCAAGTGTCATTCGTACAAGTAGTAATAAGAATGGTTAATTCTAGTGACTCGCAATCTCGCACGCGTTGGCGCGCACTCGCTTGGCATCCATCTGTGGCGACGCAACTATGCATCGCTTCCGAGGACGATCTATCACCAGTTATACAACTCTGGGACTTGAGGTGTGTTATAAAAACTATGATAATTTTTTTTATTTGTTTCACAATAGACAGGTAGTCTGTTTAAATATTTGTAATTGATTATCATTTGGTATGGATGGCATGGAGTCTGCATACGAATACTATCATTGTACGAAACTTTGAAAAGAGTGTAATTACATACAATATTTGAGCTAGTGGTGATGCTGTAGAGAATCTTTAAAACAATAAGTAGATAAATATGTGTCTTATCATCAATGTGGCTGTGATATAGATTATTTTTGACGACCGTGATGTTATATTTGCGGCAGGTTAGCGGCATCGCCATTAGCTACGTTGGAGGGTCACAACAAGGGTGTATTAAGTGTATCGTGGAGTCCCCACGATGCTACTCTATTACTATCCGGTGGCAAAGATGGAAGAGTACTTTGCTGGGAGCCCGATCACACTGCACCGGTAAAAATATCAGTTAACGTTTAAAAATAATATAATACTTTATTGATTGTATATTATTCTATGGTTTCCTCATACAAGTTTTTACTAAGTGCTGATATGTAAGGAAGAGCGGAAGAATCTATTTATCACAAAAAATGCCCAAATGAGAAATGTAATAAAACATGATCAAGTACTAGGACAATATCATATGGTCCTGTAACGTTATATGAGCAATGTCAAATGATATAGGTTATTTTGATTATTTTGCAGTTGAAAATAGTTTAAACAGTACGCAATTTCTTTGCACTTGAAACATTTATGTGTGTATTAAAAGTAAAAAATATTTAAACAAATAAATAGTTTAAGCTCTAACTTTTATTTAAAACGCATGTTTAATCCGGTTCGAAGGATCGTCGATGTTTATGGTCTTATATTGACTTAAAAGGTAAATCAGAAAGATGACGAAGACAATGAATTTGGGGGAACAGGCTTATAAATATACTGTTGAAATTATGCTTTATTGCATCGTTGCTTTGATCTTGTTTGAATGTGATTTTATAATGTTGTAGACTCAATACTGAATAATTGTTAGTTTGTGTGCGTCTGTTGTCGTTTTTATATGTTAGTATATTTTGTGACATTAGGGCCGGGCTCCAATAGAGGTGTGGTCACAGCCTCAGTGGGTTTACGAAGTGTCTTGGAGTGGACGCGTACCAGGACTACTCGCCGCTGCTTCCTTCGATCAACAACTAGCTGTTCATACGCTGTTAGCTTCCTCAATACCTGAACAGGTATTTATTTAATTATATATGAATTCAAACGGACTCAATGAAGATTACTGATGTTTTGAAACCTTCACAGGTTCTGTCTAAAACGTCAAAGAAACGAAATATAAACGCGATGGTTTCATCGCGTTTATGGATACTTATTTATTAATAAAATTAGAAAACTTTTACCATAATGCAATGGTTAATTTGTTTCATAACTTTATCTTGTTTGATTAATTTAAGTGTAATAATTTATTCATATTATTTTAATGTTATTTATGATCGTTAATTCATTTTACTCAATTTATTGATTGTAATTATAATTCAGAATAAAATTTAATTATATTTCGAAATGCTTCATTTTGATTAATTGTAAATTTAATTTGTAATATAACACGTTAGTCATCACAAAAGATCATCGGTCTAGATCTGCATCAGATAACTTGTTAATACTATTTGTAATGGAATGGATTGTAATCTGTTATGTGTTGTAAGTAAATAAATAAACAAACTATGTGTGTGCAGTCTAGTCAATCAGCGCGCAGTATAATGGATTCATTCGGTGGTGCGGAATCGTTCAACCAACTACCAGAAGTAAGGGCGGCGCCCCCCGCACCCCGCGCCCCCGCTCCCCAGCCTCCGAAAGCCCCCGCGTGGCTGAGACGACCCGTCGCTGCCAAACTATCGGTATATATACATTAATAGCTGTTATCCCGCGACTTTGTACGCATTAATTATAAGCTATGTCGACCCGTATGGTAGCTACCCATAATATTTTGAAATAATTTTTAAAATTGGTCCTGTAGTTTCGAAGTTAGTTTAGAAATTCGAAACAAACAATCAAATCTTTCCTCTTTAGTTTTATTATAGATAGTTTTCATTAAACATTTAATGTTCCCACTGTTGAGGCACATGGCCTTGGGGAATTGGACAAGTTTCAAAAACTGTTTTCAATTAATCAATATGAATGCTAATTCCCACATTTTTTAAGTAAAAATAACTTATAATATATGATACGATACGATACGATACGACACGATACGATACTATACAATGCTATACAATACAATACGATACGATATATTATAACATACAAAAATTATCTTTTTAACCAGTAAAACATTAAAATTATTTGATACTTTGAACGTTTCCTACGCTTTTCTTAGAAAGTTTTACTGCCAATTTAACCACAAATGATATAACGTGTGTTGATTGATAAAAATTAATTTTTGATTTAAATCGTTATTATTTACCAAAAATATTCAACCAATAACTTTACACTTTATGAACTTTTGTCTCTGGTTAAAAGACAATTAAATTTTTTATCTGATCACTGACCAATCCCCTATTCTGCTATTGTTTACGTTGTAATCGTATCTTGTTTAAAAATATGCATCCTTTTCAGTTTGGTGGCAAATTGTTAACATTTGAAAAATGCCCACCAGAAGCTGGATCACAGAGACTTGTTTATATCAGCCAGGTTTGTATTGTCTTTGTTTTGATTATCATTTTCTTATTGGCGTATGAAATATCATTGATGTTATTGGCTTCGTGTGATAGCCAGATAAAAAGTAATGTATGTCTATTTTGATAACTGTTCAATATAATAGAAAAGTCAATAGGCCGCTGTCCCGAAGATTACCTTCTGAATGCACACTATCGCTTGTTACTTTTCAAATAGCAGTTAATTTGATGGCGAATGGTATTTGAAATGTTTTATATACTCTAGCGAAAGGACAATTTCACTACTAAATAATGTATCTTGTCATTATAGAAGTCAGAGGCGTCAATACTTTGTTAGTAATAGTTGCATTAAGATTAATGCAATAATAGATTTATTGCTTTGACAGGTAGTAAGTGAACCAGAATTAGTAGAACGAGCGGCACAATTGGACTCTGTGTTAGGTTCTAGTCTCAGCAACGATCCTAACGCATCAGAACAACTTGCTGAGTAAGTGATGTATTATGTTTGAATAGCAAAACATTAGAAACATATCACGTTCTTAAATTATACGGTTTGAGTAAAATTTTATTGTCAAAAAAGGTTTATATGTTAATTAATAACTTTTTTAGCTCCATAAGTGACAGATTGCTAGTCTGTAGTCCACATAAAAAGCATCATTGAATAAATTTATTTTTTCAAAATATGTGAATGCAATTTAGAATGTCTTTTAAAAAGTTATAGTTGGTCTCCTATGACACTCACGCTTTAATGTGACTATCAGTTAGTTGTCTACCGTCTATAATAGAGTTATTAATAAACAAAGTTTAGTGTTGGAGTAAATTTACTATGAGACTGCACTCATTAGTCAAAATTCATATTATCAAACAGAGACTTTGCAAAGGTTAACCTAGTAAGAGGTTCTACGGGAGTAATATTTACTCCTAGAAGGAAGTAGGTTTGCTTATTATCTATATAATATTAACTTGAACTAATACTTAGATTGCAACTTTGGCGTAACTTTACTCTGACGCTAAATCTTGTTTAATAATAGCACTATTTAGATTTAATGAAGCCTTTAATCTCTAATGACTGTCAAATTTGTATGGGCATTTGTATGCCGCTTTAAACTAATGACAATATAGATGACGACAAATTTTTGTTTGTTTGTCCTTAATCAATAAATTACGTTGATACATTGAGTTGAAATGTCAAATGACGTCACCAATTATCTAAGCCATTTCTTGTTTAAATTGAAGTAAAAAAAATTTTCTGACTGACGGATTAAATAGAATTTCTTTTTTTTCCTAATCGTCAGCCCTATTTTAATGGACGTTGTATAATGGTTAAGGTGTCTGTTCTTACTGTGTCATCTGTATATAAACAGTACCCAACACATTTTGTACATCAGAAAATAAATAATGTCTGGTGGTCCTGGAATCTTGATTTAGTATTGTATTTAAAATTTAAACTGGGTAATAAATATATTGAGTGTTGATGAGTAAATAGCTTACGTTTTTTTTTTATTTTGTAGCAGTATATTATAAACTTATAATTTTTTCGTTGGTTGTATTCAGTATAGATTAGTTCTATTTTTTTTAATTTCGTAAGTTAACGTCTATATGGTACCGTAGATACTGTCGGCAGCGTGGCGACGCGACGTCTGATCAGAGCGAGCGCTACACATGGTTCTTCCTGCGCGCAAACTTCCTTCCCTCATTCCGGACAGAGGTGCTCAACTTGCTCGGTGAGATATTTCTTTTGAACAGGGGTGGTCAACTAATTGAACGTGTTATTCTAAATAATACAACATAAAAATATTTGGCAGGACTCGAGAGAAGAATCACTTGCAAATATTGATTTATTTTTACTAAAAATTAAACCTTTAATTAAACTGTCTAAATTGGCATTGGAGTTTTGTAATATAATTCCAGGGCGTATATACTTGTACAAAAAATTAAATAGGTATATCAATAAAACAATAAAAGAAGTGTAAATAATTTAGCGATACTTTATAAAAACATTTATTTCTTAAATCAAGCAAATTACATATAATTCTATATAGCCAAACCGGCTTTTGAAGTTAATTGTTTTTTCTACTAATATCGCCAATTCTTGCAAGGGAAAATTACAAAGTCTGTCCTGCCAGTAATTAATGTCAATTGTTTATTGTAGGTTTTAAACAAGATGATATTCCTTCTAAATTCAAGAATTCAGTATCAGCGGGTGATCACGCGCAGCCTGATTTAGCTGCGTTAAGTCGGGTGAGTTTGATGAATTTACGAAATTAAATACGATTTTATTTCAAATATCTAACTTTGTTCTAATCTGTTCTTTAACACAATTTAATATGCTTTATTTTGGGATTGCTATTTCAATAACCTGTGTGATACCACTACAGACTAAATTTTAACTTTTTATTATATCCATGTCTCCGTTTATACATTGTTTTATTAACAATTAAGTTTAAACATGGTTTTGGGTATATTTCAAAACTTATTTACATTAAATAATAAATTTTGTGGTAATAAGTTTTGATATTGATTAATTTGAATCAGTATTAATTATACTGTCTGATTCTCCATTGAGAATGTCACATAAGTTAATAAAGCTTCTTTGGGTGTGATTTCATTAATACCTTCAAAATTCAAAATTTTCCAATTTTCACTTGTGACTTTCTTTCGCTAACACGTATCAGGGTGAATCAACTGAGACCGAGGCGGAGCTTTCTACTGATACCAGTACGGATCTCTCGGTGAGTAGTGACGCGTCACTCGATACATATCAGTGATTATATGCATAAGTTACCAAACGATATTAAACTTAAATTCCGCCGAATTAAGGCTTAGAAATTATTTGAGAATTTTGTTAGTCTCGAAAATGAAAAATTAAAATATTGTGTATTCACAAGTATACTTTTTATATACTTGTCATGTATTTCAGTGGCAATCACATGATACATATCGGTGACTTTATTTATGTGTAAAATTAATAGCATTGTTAATTAATAATAACAAAATTTACCTGTAAATATTATAAATCTTATTAAAATACACTTTACTGCTATATGTGCTGTAGCACGGTCGCCTAACAGAAAGAAATGTACGTTGAATTTTGTGCGTACGGATAGAGATCGTTAAGATTTTAGATTCACTTTACTATGACAAAAATGGCTAGATGCATCTGTGTTAGAGTAATAGCAACATGTTTGCGCACGAGTGAAGAGATAGCTGATGCTGGATCATTGTACGAAATTCTTTCTGTTCGGCGAACGTGCTAATATGTGGGAGAAGATATATGCCTATATTTATAAAGAGACAGAAGATATTATATGTACAATATAACCTGTTGAATGTTGCGAGTGTGCTTCAATCGATGTTTTATATTAACCTTTTGCTAAATTATGACGATTCCATTTGATTGTTACTTCATTTACTTATTTTAGTATTAAAGCAACTGCTATTTTGAATAACTTACGGAAATATAATTAAAAGTCTATACTTTAATTTAGACCGAAAAATTGGCGAAGGGTGGCAACCCTGATTACTAGACAAGCACTGGAAATTACACGCTAAGTTGTGTCAATGCAACTGCATCGTTTAGTCGAATGTATTGTCGTTTCGTTTACTCCTTAGTAAACGAGGCATCTACGAATAAACATACGAGCTCGTACTGTGTCACAATTTTAGTTTGTCTAGCAGTATACATAAAATATATATAGAATTCTTTGGATAACACCACGTATATCGCTCAGATTCCAAGTTAGTTAAAGCCCTTGAATTATGAAAATCTGAAATACGAAGTAATTACAATATCCAGACCCGCGATAACATATAAAAGCTCATTTTCTATGTTCACCCGATAGAACACAGAACCTTGAACCTTAAAGTTGGCGAAACAACTACATCCGAGCTAATCGGCTACGGAAATTAGAATGTAAAAAATCGATAAAATGTGGACTTAGCCAAACAGCAGATTAAAATATTGATAAACGAAATACGTATGTATGTTCGGTTCAAATGACGCATTTGTACATGAACGCTATTCTTTTATGCACCAGTGACAGAAAGATTTGGTTATTTCTTATCGATATTTATCTTTTATTGTTTCAACAGGATGCGCACACGTTGATTGAAAGAAAACTTGCGAATGTCGATATAGGAGGTCCCACAGTGTCAAATGTTGTTATACCCAATGGTGAAGGTGAGTAATATATGTGAATTAATACTCTGTTGCATTTATGCTTACATGCTATAAAACAAATTCATCAATGGGCTGTTTAATTTATTTGAGTTTTTTTGTGAAAAGGCCGAATCAAACGTTTATTTCCAGTAGTTCATCTACAGCACGGTCGCGGAACAGACAGAATTTCTTATGTTATGTTGACCTTTGTGCCTAATGATAGATATCGTAGACATTTTAGGTTCACTTTACTATGACAAAATTGGCTAGATGCAGATGTATCGATGTGCGAGCGCAATAGCAATATGTTATCGCACGAGTGAAAGAGATCTAATGACGGGCAATTCTACGAAATTCTTTCTGTTCGGCGACCGTGCTATATATAGACATTGTTGAAAATATGTAAAATGAGACCTTACTACATAGCCATCTCTACATTTTACATATAGTTTTAAATTAAGATATGACCAACTATGAATCAGTAGCAACTCATGTTGTACTAGATATCCATTTGATAGTTATAGGATAATTTGCTGTCTTATTTTATGATGGGGTAACAGCTTTTCTCCTAAGGGATCACATAAGATAAAGCGACTCAGTTTCAAAATGGTGCAGGGTATTAAATTTGGTTTTTAAACATGTGTTCTAGATTAGAATAAAAAATTCGGGACAAAATATATTTACGCCAATCTTTGTACTTAAAATTAATAATATCTTTTTGTGCATCGCGTTTCAAATAAGTATTATTTGTTTTTAGATCCAACAAGTATGATATGTCGAGCGTTAGTTTGTGGTAATTTAGAAGAAGCTGTGGAATTGTGTTTAGAAGCGAAGCGGGTCGCCGACGCCCTCGTAATAGCTTCATTAGGTGAGTTATAAAACACATACACATTATACAGTGAAAAACATTGGCTATTATGAAATGTAATTATGAAATATTATTATAAAATGAATACTGGAGTATTGAATTTTTTAAAGTATTTTACCATTAATTAAATATAGGAATAAAGAAATGGATAGACAAGAAAGAAAATTCACGATAAAGATAGTATACAAGTTAATAGATGTGTGGTTCAAATATGTCAATGAACCGCTATTCTATTAAAATAAATCAATGAGACTGTAAAAACTTTGACTGTTACGACCAGGCAGTCAAGATCTGTTGTACAGAGTGCAGAAGTATCATTTGCGACAGAGTGGGAAGGATCCAGTGTCACTGGTTGCCGGTAGTCTGCTGCAAAGTCGCTGGGATACATTCGTACAAGCCGCTGCACCTAGCAGCTGGCGGCATACACTCGCTGCACTCGTCACTCATACAGATGCCGATACACTTGCTCACTGCTGCGGTGAGTGCATAAATATTTTTTCAGGTACCCGGACCTTCATCATCATCAGCCCTTTTACGTCCTCACCGGACGGTTAAGGAGGATGGGCCATGACACTCCACGTTGCCCAATGCGGAGAGGAGGGTATTAACGACTGCAGATGCAGCCGGGTCTAACGGCTTAATGTGTCTTCTAAAGCACGGTGTAGGTCGAGATACTAATATTTTTGGTCACCCATCGCGTGACCGACCCTTGCGAAAGTTGTTTAACAACAACGATCGCGGGCCGCGGCGCTTATCCACTATGCAACGGAGCTACTTCGACCTTGTTTTATTACTTTAAATTTTGTCCACCAATGGAATCTGTTCTTCCTACTGCAAATAATCGAATAATTATCTTTTGGTAACACTTTTCATTTTCATGGAATTATCTAAAATGTAAGGTGAAACATATATATCATAGCAGTAGCGAATAGTCCTCGTCGATTTCTTGCCTTGATAAAATGTTTTTTCTCTAGACAGTTTCATTTTTAGTACCACAATTCGTCTGCTTAAGTAAACATCTAATTATATATTTTAATAGTAATAGTAATCGTTTATTTGCTATTAAATGAGGTACAATAAAAGATGGAAAAACAATTATAGTTCAGTTCACTTAGCTATTACACTAGCATGCAAATTTTATATTCATTTAATTATTAAATTTAAATACAGGCAATTAAAATCATTATTATTTAGGACTAAATCATTATTATAACCATTAAAAAATGACAGAAAATTAAAACTATGTCATTATCAATTTGAATTAATGATTAAGAAACTTTAATGTAGACAACTTTTTTCCACTTGACTTGAACTTAGGACTAGACTTTGAAACCAGCGTATAAGCTAATCGACCAAAGAGGTCTCCTTCATTGCTAATCATATATCTGTAAACAATAAATACTGCCCAAAACAACATTTCTAGGGCACAAAAATAGAACCATATTTTAAAACATTCTACCCGCCAACAGAAATGCTGGGCGACAAGTTGTCTTCGGAATCAGATTCTTCGTTACAAGAGGCAGCATCGATCTGTTACCTGTGTTCTATGAGCGCGGACAGGTTGGTTTCGAGATGGGCGCGGGTGGGGAGAGACGCCGCCTCATTGGCTGCATTGACTGAACGCGCTTTATTAGCTAGGAGAGCGGCTGCTGCTAGAGGGCGACACTTGCAGGTACAAGGAATAGTGAGCGTAAATAAATTGAATGCTTTTAGAATATATGAATTTGTCTAAGCGCTGCCTTATACTGGGTGTTATGGTGGTAGTCCCTAGGTTCTCTCTCACGTTGCGTATGCGCTTTTTCATATTAATACTTTACGTATGACATCGGCGCAAACCGAGCCTTTATGTGGCCTCGTCCGTGATACAATCATTAGCTTACTGCTAGCACATTCTCGGCCACAGTCTTCAGCTTCATATTTTTATATCTCAATAAGTGGCGACGAATAAAGGCCACCACTTGGCCACTAAATATGTCTAAATGTGGCTAGTGGCCTAACTGAGCTACTAGCGGTCGCGATTAAAGGTCGAGAATTCTAAGTCACTTATAATATGTTGCGTTGTAATAAGGTGTATTATCATACAGGAGGGTAGTAAACTAGACGCGGTATTGAATGAGTACGCGTACCGTCTCGCCGCTCAGGGCTGTCTGCAGAGCGCGCTCAACTCATTGGAAGGATCGGCACATTCTGAACTGCGACAACGGCTTGCGACAGCTCTGGGTCTGTTGCAGGAACAGCGGCAGGTCAGTTATACTAAAAATATAAAAAAAACTATTTTATGAATATATTAATAATAATTTCAAATAAAAATTAATGTTTTTTTATATTATTTAGCAACCGCAAGTTAGTCAATTCAACCGTAACAGGACGTTCAGTGCGCAGTCTAACAAACGCGGCTCCGTTCCTCACACAGACAATACATATAATACAAGTACGTACAATTTTTGCATTCACAATACTGTACTGATAAATATTCTTAAAGTAAGGTGCTTTAATATCCACTTTGTCCCTGATACTCTGAGATGACCTTTCGTAGAAGTCGCCCGGATTGTGAAAGGTCAAGGGTTCGAATCCCATCTCAGAGTGTCAGGGGTATGGTGGAATTTTTTTATTATGACTTCTCTTTTTACAATTATTAATTCTTAAGAAAAACTGTGTTCTTTGCATGAGACACCATTAAGAGTAAATTGAGATGCTATCGAGCACGAAATTAAGGAAAAAATAGATATCAATGCCATCCTATGATTAACACTTAGCACAAAAATGATCGATTTGAAAAAATTATACAGTTAAAAGCTTTATTTCAAATTTTATGACATCTTAAATTCATAAAATTTGAAATATACACTCCACTATAAAGTTTCATAGGTAGATGATTAGGTGAAAATCTAAAATATTACTGCAAAATGGGCTATAGATGTAGTTTGATGATGTTCTTGTAGTGCCTAAACCATATGAACAAAAACCATGGCAACAATCATCAGTGCCAGCGGCTAGTACGTTCCCGCCACAGAACAGTTTCACGTCGCCGTTACAACCATTACAATCTCAGCCGTTACAACCTCAGCCGCTACAACCTCAGCCATTACAACCTCAACCGCTACAACCTCAACCGCTACAACCTCCGCCACGACCAGGAAGTGTGGGTCCACAATCGGGTAAATTGAAATTATTTAAATAGTAACAAATATACATATTACGTTCTATAAGTGATGTAGCTAAATATGTATAAGCTTTGTGAAATCATCAGTGTCCGATGTTTTTTTAAGTAATTGCAATATTAAAAACAAATAAAAAGTGTTGTGAATTACCAATAGTCAATGAATATAGTCTTTATTATCTATTACTAATAATATAAGAAGGAAAGATTTGATTGTTTGTTTGTCTGCGTTTAAAAATTCATTCACTTACAGGAAGTTACATCATTGGAAGGTACAACAGCTACTTATTAATATAATTAATTAAAATTTTAAAATCCTACAGGTGGTCTGACGAGTCGGTCTAAGTATAAGGTGGATCCGTCTGTAGCTTCCGCACCCCTTTACAACCAGTACAACTTCAACAACCAATCGCAATCGTATGGATACAACAGTCCGCTGCCCGATCAGTACAAGTTAGTGGGCTATTTTTTAATATTGTAGAACATAATCATGCACTAGGTTGACAAAGAAACATTACTACGATTTTTACAATTAATCGAAGCGAAGGAGCGATATGAATTTTGATGACATTGTGACATAAGAATATAATAGATATGGGGATCTTAAAGAATAGAGATGGGGATATTAAAGAATAGACATGAGGATATTACGCAAAGGTCGGCGTAGGTGGCGCCACTAGTACGTTATGCCTTTTGGAAATAACTAATTCCCTTTCTTCTTACATCTAAATATGCAGCAATGATGTATTGATGGATAAACTTATACTCCTATTATACTTTATTCTTTGCTATTATACGAATGGCTTTTGACGTTTTTAAAACAGTGAGAGTTTGTATAACGAAAGAAGTCTCGCGGACGCGGAGCTGCAGTTAAAGGTCTGGGTGATGTTTAATTCTAGTTTTCGAGATTTTCCCCACAATTTAATAAAAAATTAATATAATTTACATTTAGATTTAGATTTTCAAACACTTGTTACTTTTTCGCTACTACAGAGCGTATTTATATGAAGTGGATTTATTAAGCATTTTTCATTAAGTATATTTTTCAGTATAGCTTTGTGAAAGCAAAATTGATCAAATATAATAATAAGACAAATGTCATTTAATTTCAAAGTTTCTTTCCAGTTCGTCGAGTGTACCGAATCCTAGCTTCACACCTGTCAACAATAACTTGAATACTATGAATCCGATGAATCCAATGAACTCGGTAAATGCTGCACCATCGAACCCGGTGAATCTATTGAACCCCGGGCCATTGAATCCCGCTAACCAAGTGAACTCCGCTATGAACGGCGGTTACTACGGTCAGGCGCCGGAACAAGCGATTCCGGCCGAGCCGGTGAAACCCGTTGCGCCCGGTTGGAACGACCCACCGATACTTTCGTCTAAACCTAAGGTGGGTTATTTTTTCATTATTTTATATGTCATGTTTTATACATTCAATGAAAATGAAAAATAAGTACTCTTATTACAAGCATCAACAAACAATCTTATTTGAATCAACAAACAAATTTATTAAGTTATTTCATTTCAATTATAAAACTATAAATATGTAGAATAAAATGTCATGTAAATATACAAAAGGATAAAAATGATTGAAATTTCGACATTGTTTATATTATATAATGTGATTCGTAGCTGTTATGCAAAGAACAAGTTTTACAATTTTGAATCCATTTTTTGAATGAGTATCAGGATTGAAAAATATCTTTTTTTTTTAAATAAATAATTGCATAGTTGTCCGGTATTGAGACGTCATACATGGGTGATATGTCCGCATTGCACGCGGGTACGCGCCAGTGGAGTAACATTATAGAACATAGGAGACATCACGACGAGGTACCATACACCACGATGATATATACAGAAGGTTTAATTAATTTATTGATTATATAATTTAATAAATGTATAACAACAAATTCGAGTCGAATAGTGTTGTATTGAATCTAATCGATACGTTTGTAGGTAAAATTGAGGAAAGGGTGCCAACATGTTTTGATAACTTTGCTTGGTTTAAGATACAACTGGGGGCCAATACTAAATAAATTTTGTTTAAATCGAATCATATGATACAATTCCAGTTCTATTTTAGCTGGAATTGTATCGTTTGTCACTTAGTAGAATAGAAAAACCATTAAAAACTGTAGTTTCGTTCGGTTTCAATCCGTTTTCGATACGATTTAACAAAATTTATTCAGTAGAATTGGCCCCCTGATGTGATTCACTGATGTACCTGCGAAGAAAGCTAAATATCGAAGCACAGCAAATGTCGGCCAATCAGATTGATTAATTTATCACGTTATTGGACGATCCACCAATAACCATTACTCACTATAGATTTATTATAGTATCATATATTTGATTAAATTTGAAATAAATTTGTTTAATAATACTATTTAATCACTTAATTCTATTTGAAACTATTTGAGAAAATGGTTCGTGTGGGTGATCCCACGCGTATTTTATTTTATGTAGGCGCGTGCATTAGTGTATGTCTCTACATGCTCTTATTTGTGAATTTCCTTCTGTATTTATATCATGGTGTAAAAGAGTGCCCCTCGTTTTATAATTGGTCGTTATATATAGTGTGCAATTAACTTCCTTTGTTCATTTTTTAATCAACCTTTATTTGTTTCGGCATGTATTGTTTGCTATTGAGAAACTATCTGGAAAAAAAGTTTGATATTGTAAATATAAGTTACTCTTGAACGCAATCGCGATGGACATTTCATGAATATTGCGTGCTTATTGAATGGAATAATTGACATTGAGTAAGTATTGAGTCTGTTTTACGCGTTTTGAAGTAATTTGTAGGTATATTTATCGATAAAATAAAATAATTTCGATAAAATACTTTTTAATTGAGTACGAGAGTGGATTAGATTATTGAAATTGACATAGGGATTGCGTTTTAGAGTAAGCCTGCTGATCTTCAAAATCATAGGATTTAGGTATCTGCACTTAAATTCATTGTCCATTAAAAAAATCGGCATGGGTTGTTTTTCTATTACCTTATTACTGAACAAAAACAATTAATATTTTTACTAATCTACTTTGGTCTATAGTATTTTTGTTTTAGTTTTTTTTTTTTATTTACGAATATTAACTTTTTGTGGATTGATGTTGATAGTACCTTTGACGGAATAAATTATCACGAAAGATAATCATTACCCAATTCTTTAAAATTAATGTGACTTGAAACTTGTCATCCGCGTAAATTTCAAAAGTCGACTAAGGGTTAAGAAAGCTTATTAACATTTAGACCTACTCTTATGCATACATACTGATATGATAAATTATATAATCACTTAATAAATGTTAATGTTATATGCATTAAGAAAATAACTGAACGATTTGTGTACTCGAGTCGATATATCTGTTCGAAAAAGTACATGGAAAAATTATTTTAGCCCAAACAAGAAGTGCCAGCACAAGCGCCGATCACCCATCCCCTGTTTGGCGTAGAACCACCACAGCATGTGCCTTTGACAGGTCCACAGTACGGACAATATCCTGGACAAACTTACCCGGGCCAACAAATGCCCGGACAGTATCCACCCCAGGGGATGAACCAGCAATACCCGCAGCAGCAGTACCCGGATCAGATGAATCAGGCGTATCAGCAACAAGGACGGGTAAATCTTTTTGAAGAATGTGAATACTCTTGCATGCGCAGTTGGGAACTTTAAAGGGAGAAGTTATATCGCTATATTATGCTTGCTTAGGTACACTATTTTGACTAAAATGTTACTTAGTAATCTATATATATTATAAAACAAGTCGTTTCCCGCTTTCTGTACGCTGAGATCTTTTAAACTATACATATTTTAGTGAGGGTTCTTCAAAATACAAGGTGATTTAAGAAAGCCGTAATACAGGACCACGCGAGCGAATCCACTGGCGGAAAGCTAGTTGTTGTTATGAACGCATGTTCATATACGACAATCTAATTTTGAACCTTATTCCTTTGACACAAGCGTTTGTCTCGCGCAGGAGAGTCCAGCAGTGGCAGCGCCGCCGCCGGTAGTGAAAAAACCGATTCCAGAGCAATACTCGGCAATGGTGAACGTCTTTGAGTATCTGAGGAATGAATGCCAGAACAGGGCGACGCAACCGGTGAGTTATAAATAATGTTTGTTAGACATCGGATAAATTTTTGTATAGTATAAAGAAAAAAATTAAGTGATAAAAACCGCTTATAAATATTGCATATTGTTTTGCAGAGTTTCCCCTAATTGGTCATGGCAAATTGACTGATTGAGTAATTATATTAAGTATAAAAAATAGTAGTAGTATAGTAGTATTAAAAAAAAACTTCTATTTCTTGGATTTACAAAACTAAGTATAATTAAAATTTAGATCTTTCTCATTTAGAGGGTAGTTTAACAGAATTGCCACATTCCAACCAGCCTTCTTAGTCTTCGTCGAGCAATAATATTTCGTTAATAGCAGATCGTATTTTTATATATTTGGATGATATTGTAGCAATAATTTTAACATTAGGAGCCATTTAATTGAAAATACCAGTAGCGGGTTATCTGTGTTTATTGCCTTGACTAGAGTAGAATTAAATATTTTACTCTTTATTTTTTGTTTGCAGCAAATGAAGAGGAAATTAGAAGATTTACAGAGAAAATTGGAATCATTATACGATTTATTACGAGAGAATAGGGTAAGTTATTATTTTTTGTAAAATTTAAGTTGTGTAAGAATAATTTTGCACATACATATTTTCAACAGTTTCAAGTAAAAAGATCCCGTAGTATTGTTGAATCAATAATTCCGGTTGGATATTCGACTTCGGAATAGTTCATTCTGTTAGGTCCATTACAAAAAGAAATCGGGACCAATAGTAATACGGTCTTGGACAATTGTATTTAAGAGTGTTTGTTCATTAAATAATCAAAACCTCTAAAGAATAATTTTCCGCAAAATTATATAGGTTTTCATAAAAAATATTATTATACACTTGAATATTTTTTTAATTTAACACCCAAAAATGCTACGGTCCTGTTGCGTGATGTCATTTATCGTGGGGGTTGCCAGACCATATTAACAAAATTTATCGAACATAGCTCGGCGAAGAGATTTGCTCAACGTTAACAGAATAGAAACGAATATTAAATTATATTAATGATTGTTAGCTACAGTTGTCAGCAAAGTTTTTTGAAGTCTAATTTTATCATGAATGTTGTACCACCACCACTGCATGTTCTAAACTTTTAATTGCAACATATACCAATTTCCCATGTCAATAAAGAGCTCGTTAATTTCATGGTTTATATACATTACGTATCCAGTTATTTGTATAGTTGATTACGAAATAAATATGTATTATTTGGCTAGCTTGGTCTGGTAACCCTGAAAGTAACAGCGAGTATTGACGTCATGCAACATGGCTGGTGTTTTGACATAAAAGGTACGGAAGTTTGACATATAAAACTAATATTTGAAGAGTTAACAATATAATAACTTTGTATATCTTTTATACTAATTTGTTTTTATTGAGAATCCTACTACTATTAATTGATGTTAGACAAAATATCATATAATATTGTAGATACACACACTACAGTCCAATACACTATTATCTGCTATTATGTCTTATGATTTTATATTATCGTTACATTTTAGTAATGCATGGTTAGCAATGTAATGTATGATAGATATAAGGGCTAAAATACTTTTTAATGCCTAATCTAAACATACGATTTTAAATTTCTTTTTTTTATAAAAATATTAATATTCTTATTTTAATATGCAGATATAGATACGTTATAGTTCGGTTTATAATGTACCTACCTCTGCAGCGTTAGTTTAAATGAATTAATTATAGTTATGGTCAACAATATATGAAGGTGTCGGAAAATTAAACAACTGCGTTACATTTTGAATTTATTTTGAATTTTTATTAATCTTGTACAAAGAGAATCACAACATGTAAGTTTTAAACTATAGCGCTTATAATTAACTTCTTATAAAATTAAATCACAGAAGTTATCAGTTTCATAGAGTATCCTTATTACTTTGGATTGCTGCGTTACCAAAATTTAATTTTATAACATAAACTTTTCTATTTATCACAAATAAAAACTTAAAATTAATACCAACTTACAACATAATCTTTCAATTTTGATGAGTAATACGTACGTATGAAATTAAAGCACATTAAATAATAAGAATCATAGATATATTGAAAATACTATAAAAAAATCTGAGGGACACAAAAGTAACGCAGTAGTAAGCCCAGTAATACGGTAGTATTTTCTTATATACAATTCTTGTACATACAATATTTGTACTTTCTATAGAGATCTAGTATAACGATAAAAACATAACAAAATATAACTTCCTATGACTCGATATAAAATAAAGTATCTTCAATGAAATAAATTTAAAAACTCAAAAAATAAAAATCACAACATCAACCTTAATAACTAATGGAACACTTTCAAATCAGTCCTACTTTTCAAAGACGTTTAATGGCTTATCATAATCAAAGTATATCCTTTTACCTTTTACGACAATTTTAGGATTAGGAACAATTTCTAAGATGTTATCGTAAGGTTCGTAAGAAATATCAGTATCTACTGCTTTGAACCTTTTACCAGTTTTATCTACTGTCTTGTAAAACATAATTTTGACGTCTCCTTCTTCATCAACTTCACTTTTAGCAACACCTAGATAAGTGTAATGTTTGTCTTTAACAGAAGACACTTACTAAGACATGGACACCGTCTGATATCTTTGTAGGATGAATATTTTCCTTTTCAATTAATTGCCATTCTTTTATATTAGAAACTGATGGTATATATGATAGCTGGCTAAGAACTCGTCATCAGAGCTGGAAGGTGTGGAATAAACCGTATTGTAAAATGTTCTTCTAGGTACGGTAATTATATATAAAATATCATCGAGAACTATTTCCTCATCCAATCCATCCAAGAGAATACCTTCTGTAAGTGTGTCAATAACGGGAGCAGGAACAGGGTGATAAGTTTTTGGGCTCATGCATGAGCAAAAACCTCTTTGGCAAAAGCAACTGAGATCTCTATATTGAAGTTCACCGGGAGCGTCAGTAAAAACTTGATGTACTAGCATCGTACCTTGAAGTGGTACAAGGTTTTTAGGTAGAGCTTTTTCAATGTTTTGTATGTCACTGTCCGTCACTAAATACAAACGGACCTTGCTTAACTCCTTCAGTGTTTTGGTGAGCGATAACCCTGGTTTTGTAGAGAGCATCTAAAATATACTGCGCATTAGTATGTATCTTGCATAGGCAAATCTCTCTTCCAGAAACTGAAATTGGCTTTATATAAAATGGCCTGTTTTTAATGAAATACGAATAAGAACATCTCAATTCTGGATTTTCTTTTTTAAAAGAATGAAATAGTTTTTTCATTGTGTCTAGTAAATATCGCTTCTGTATTTTAATTTTATTACAAGTGACAGTTTCCCGTTTTCCAGCCGTAGCTCTAGAAACATCGTCACGAACAAAAAAGCTTTTAATGCTGTTAACCAGATTTTTCTTTGAGGTATTCTGCTGTCGTTTCATCACTTTCATCAGATCAATTCCCAACGTCTCGCGTACAATAGCAATTTTTATTTTAGAGTTAGATAAGCCTTCTCCTTGAAAATTTGTTTTAATGATTGTTTCTCTTTGATTGACTTCAAACTTCTGTAATGGTCTTTGATGGCATTGGATAATGTTGAATACTTATTTTGGTTAAGCTTATTTACTTGTTCCGTGCGTCTGATTGACGTTTTAGCTTTTTGGTATCTCTTTTTATATTTACTACATATTCTTTTCAACTTTTCTATTTCTTCCTGCAATTTCAAATTATTTCTGTACTCTGCAGATCTATCTCTTCGTATTTGTTTTCGGCCTCTAGACCTCGGTAAAACTGGAGTTCCTGACCGCGGGCTCGACGTCGGTGACGTCCATAATTTGTTGAGCAGTTTTTTGTCGTTCTCGACGTTTCTTATTTGCAGTTTTCCATTTACGCTTAGCACTCCTATGTTCTCGCTCTGTCATATCTTTGACAAGTTTTTTATTTGCATGATACCTTTCTTGGTGTTTTTTCTTAGCTTCAGCATGTCTCACCGGGTCTAGTTTTAATTTAAGCTTATAGCGACGTTGTTTTTCTGCGTTTGTTAACGCCATTTAGCGCCGAATCTTTTCTCTAAGATAAAAAAAGAAACAATATATAAAAATTAAGGCTTAAATAACGTATCACCAACATTGACAAATATATTATTTATTTTTATATGTAGTTAGTCATGTCTTTGTACTGTCAGTGTTAGAATATCTGCACTTTGGTATTTCATTTAGTGATTATTTACAACATAGTCAAATATTCACATTTATCGTCAAATTCTGTGCAGTTTTCATGCAGCCACCGTTTACATATAATACACTGGATCCAATCTTCAGTTTCGTGATAGTTTCCACCACATCCTACACAGTCGTCGACATAAAGTTCGACTGGAGAAGAGTCACGGCTCTCTAGAAGAATCGGTTGATCTTCTTCTTCAGTATCAGTAGACTCCCGCCGCGTTTGGGCTTTCTTCTTTTTTGGTTTAGTTCTATTTTCCTGGTATTTCTTCTCTATTTTCTCCTGTTTAATTTTTTTCTGTACAACTTGTTCTTTGTCTATGATGTCTTTAGATTCTAGCCGATTGATAAATTTCTTTTTATTCTGTGTAATTTGTGTTTTTTTGGTAATATTTTTCTCTATTTTCTCCTGTTTAATTTCTTTTTTCATTTGATATTCTTCATCTTTTGTATCCTTAAGTTGCGGGCGCTTCTGTACTTTTGGCTTATTTTGTGTAATTCTGTTAATACTTTTTTGGTCATTCTCTTTTTCCTGTTTTATTTTTTTCTTTCTTATACTTTCAGCTGATTTTTCCTGTTTCCTTTTTTTCTTTTCATCACAGTCTTTCCGGTAATTTATGTGATCTTCCGATGTTAATATCGTTGCCACTTGCTTTGCTCGCTTTCTAATTTGGTATGTTTTTATAGGTATTGGTGATATTTCGTTCAATAATTTTGACGGTGTCTCTTCGTTGTCTTTAATAGCCGATCTCGATGATGTTTCAGTAATTTTTTTTGGAGTGGCTTGTACGATTGATACGGCTGATATTTCTGTAAGTTTCATTGGTGTATCTTCAATAATTTGCTTTCGACTTGTGTGCCTATTCACGGAATTTGTAGCTTGCATTTCAGCCGAATCAGGATTAACAGATTCCATATCAGGTAAGGAAGAAATACTAAACTCTGTTCTTGTGGCTTGGGTTTCAAGTGGATTTGGTTGAATGGGTTCTATCTCAGGTATCGAAGGAATAGTGGCCCTGCCTGTGGCTTGAATTACAGATGGTCCTGAATTATTTGGTTCAATTTCAAGCAAGGAAGGGCTACTGTTTCTTCGTGAAGTATCAATACCGAATATTCCAGGTTGGTTGTCTTCATCCTGCACGTCGATCTCAGCAAAGGCATAATCTGGAACGGCGTGACGATTGAATGGATAAATACCCGTTGCTTTAAAGCCTGCTGTGGCACTTTCATATGTTGCGGCTTTACTCCATGCAGTCGACAACAATTCCCCAAACTGAAGGCGGGTAAGGCGTCTTCCAGGATTTCGCTTCAGCCACATGCGAGTTGCTTCATAATAAAATGCTTTTAATGACTTAAAAACAGATCTGTCAAGTGTTTGAAGGTAGTGTGTCGTGTGGCTTGGTAGTGTAAATAAACAAATGTCGTTAGCGGCAACAAATTCCAACATCTCAACAGAATTGCAGTGCGACGTATGGCCGTCCAAACAGAGTAATACCTTGCCAGCCGGCTTCCTGGGCATAAAATGTGTCTTCAACCATTCAAAAAATATTTTAGCATTAATGTATGCGGATTTTTCTGACATGAACAGCATAGATCCGGGTGGCATTCCGTCTTGCCATTCTTGTTTTTTATTTTTCCCTTTCATTATGCATGCAGGTGGAAGAAAGACCCCTTCAGCATTACAACAGCCAATGACCGTAATCGTTTCACCCTATTCTGTAGAAGTTACAGTAGACACTGCTTTTGAACCCTTTTTTGCTAGTACATGACCGGGTTGGTTATTCAGTTGAAGTCCCGATTCATCCATGTTGAAAATGTTAGATGGTTTGTCAAATAGTTCATACTTTTCTAGCAGGTCATGCAGCACATCGAAATAGGCATTAACTTCTTTCCGGTTCAGTGCTTCGCAGCGTGCCAAGGACACACTTTCTGCCTTTCTGGTACTTATTTCGGGGTTTCTTTTTAAAAATGATTGCAACCAAACATACCCAGCCTCTTCTTTATCCTTAAATGAATGTTTTAGGCCTAACTGTTCGGCAAAATAAAACGCAATGCTTCGTAAATCTTTTGGTGTTAGTGGGAAACAATTCTTTTGCATTTTAAGAATGTGTCGAACTAATCTTTTCTCATGTTCTATTCCAAAAACGGATGAAGGACCCATTGGACCTTTTATGAAATTTTGGGTTTTTAAGCGCCTCTTTAAGGTTTTTCGCGGTACGCCGTATTCCAAACTAGCCTGCCGAACTGAAATATTACTAGTACGAACAGCTTCAATTGCTTGAGAGAGATCAAGTTGAGTCCATTTCCCACGATCTTTAGTTATGCGAACGTACTTATTAGGCATCTGAAATATAAAAAATAACCACTTGAACCATCATTAGCACCACCACGACACCAAAAATCACTTTCTACTTGGCAGTAAAATATGACAAAAAGTGGCCATCTCACCTCAAAAAATATAGGCTATCACTCCTAAAACATATAGGAGAGATGGCCACTAGCAATTTTTTAATTTAAATAAACGATATTTAAACGGTTTTGAGGTTATGTTGTGAGCTGATACACATTTTTAATATTTAAGTTAAAAAAACGGCAAAAAACAGAAACCTAACTACGAAAACAGTTTGATTACTCAACGCCTCTAAAAATAATTGTATCTGCTATGAAAATAAACAGGAAATTACTCACTTTTTATACGCTTTTTTTTCCCAAATTTCTACACAGTGTCACCGCTAGGATAGCTGCTACCGAACTGCCCTATTAGGGTGCTGCCCTCTGGTAGTAAGATATTAAATTAATTCGATGGCTATCTATCCTCTATGGCTATCTCTCCTCGAATTACCCTATGTAAAGCCGAATAAGGTGCAAAAAAGGGTAATACACTCACTTAAAGGTTTATTTTCATATAGCAACGCAAGGTAGTTACGATTTTAGTATTTGTTAGGGACACAGTCAAAATATTTTTTTATTCCAATAATTTTTTGATTTAAAAAATATTTATTGGCATTATAAATAAGGTTTAGGGCTTAAATTTTTAAAGCGGAATTCATTATGAATCGCCACCTAGGAAATATTGTGGAAAAAATCCGGAGAAGCTTGAGACATGTGCTCAAGGACAACTGTATTTTGTATGAAGAACAAATGCGTTACTAAGAATGACAACATTGTTACTATATTTTTTAATAATAATAATAATAATATACTTTATTGCACTCAATATGATACAATGTTTACAGGAGCTTATTATTTAAAAACATTGAGTAAACAAATGGCGGCCTTATTGCTTAACAGCAATTTCTTCCAGGCAACCTATGGTGAAACTGGATAACGAATATAGATACTGTATTTTTTGTTATAATGATGTATTTTTACTGGTCAAATCTTGTGTTCTGTATTAAACAATAATGTAATATTTTGAAATTAGCATACTTATTTTACACTTTTGTAGTGTTTTACCGTAAAATTCGTCATTAGTTCAAAGGGACAGGTTTTTAGGCATAAAAAAGTATTTTGGCCCATAAAAAGAGGCCTTTCTATAATAGTCAATCGATATTTATTATTATTTTGTTTCGGTTAGTCAGCTCGGGAAATCATCGAGCGTCAATCGATTTCGTGTCGATACAAAAGGCCAAATTTCTACTATCAATGTCGAACTTAAATATCAATGGATTGGGGTTTAAAATTGATCGTAGAATTTTGACCTTTTGTATTAACGTGATGTGCGGTCTGTTTACCTGACACTATTAGGAAGAAAAGTAAAATTTCACTAAGAATAAAATAAATTTGTCCGACAGCTATCAGAGACCGCGTTATCGACGCTACAGTCGTGCGCGATGTTAGCTTCTCGCGGCGACACTGGTGGCGCCACAGCGGCGGCTAGCAGTCTTGCAGCGGGCGCTGAATTCGCTGCCGTTGCTAGTTTCTTACCCGCACTCAAAGGATTATTGCAACTGGCCGGACAGATGCAGATCTACGCGCAATAGTCATATGGGACATTAATGTTGGCCGGCTATAAGCGTTAACTAATGTTAGCTAGTGCTAATGTCTGTGGATGTTTATGCAAGTTGGTACCAATCGGTGATGATTTGAGACTAAAGTCTGTTAACGCTGATGATACCTGAATTTGTATACTTATGTTAGTCGACACGAATGTCTATAGGTTTTAGTAGCTGATACTAATATCTGTGTACATTGGTGTTAGCGGGTACTAAATTCAATTAGTTGGCAATAATGTCTGTAGACTTTGGTACGTTAGTTAACAGTAATGTTACATTGATGTCAGCGGACAATGTTATCAGCTAGTACTATTTATAATTGAATATTAATAATGTGCGTGAATACTAATTTAACAGAGAATTATTGCGGTGAGTTTACATTAATAACGTTTCTGTTGTAAAACGTTAATATGTTAACATGTTAACTCCGATTTGAACGAGTGAAACTTTTTCGATTATGTCATAATAATAATATCAGAACTTAGTAAAATGTTTAATTTGATCCGATAATAATATTTGTGGTATGACTATCCGTTAACTGCAGATGTTAATAATATGTAGATTCATAATTTCAAATTAAACTATAATCTTTTATACGTTTTGAAATCATTTTTATCAAAAACTTTAAATAAAAATCAATTAACTAACTGTATGTATATATAAATATAGTTCGTATATATCCAGATATAACTTTTCATATAAGGTAACAATTATTTAAATGAAAATCTTCATTCGGTATTAACCCCAAAGAGAGGCTTTATTAATATCAAATTTATAAAAGAATGTTATAAAAAGCTGAAACTTTTGAGTTGAAATATCGAGTGGAAACGTTTTATTTTTTATATTCATAATATAATTAGGTGAATCCAAATAATGCAATTATAGTTAATATATCAAAATGAATATTTGTAACTTAGTTTAAATTTGAAATAGAAATAAAATAGTTATGAAAATTATTGGTTTACTTTTATTTTCTTTTTATGTAAAAAACGTTTGAAACTTATTCACAGTTCTTATAGAAGTAAAGAACAACATGCATTTATTTGCTCTTAAGGGTCTGCGTATACAGACGTATACTGACAGAAGGTCAATGAAGCGTCTCTGAAGTATACGGTAGTACATGATGTATCATTCGTCGATTATGCAAGGTAATCTGTTTAAGAGAAGGTTGAAACTTTAACAAATTCATGTATGATTTTCTTTATATAACGAAAAAGAAAAATACAAACTATTAGTTTTAAAAAGTTAGCGAGCTCATTATTTTAATATAAATATAAATTTTAATATAAATTTACAATATTCATAATAAAACAGACCGTCTTATTATAAAACCAGGACTAATTTTTGTACCAGATTTAAACTATTGTCCGATCAAAATAAGACAACACGTCTCAATTTGGCGTTTTTTCTTCTGTGAATGTGAATTAACTTTAGGCGGTCAATGGCTTACACTAGTTAAGTCCACCTTTTATATTATGACTAATTGGTTATTTAAGTTTGAATACTTTTTAAAACAAAATCAAACAACGTGTTTCATTTCTCATATTAACTGTTTAATCGTGTTTAATAAAACTTGATAATGCGGATTTCATATTGTTAACAATTTTAACTCCTATCATTATAATTATTTAATTCGCTGTGTTAATATAATCAGTGATTAGAAATAGTCTATGTCTATCTAATCTCTTTGGCGTGATATGATTTGGAGCGGTTGTTGCCGGCAATTTTATTACTTTTTTATTTAATTTTATATATTAATGTTATCTTATTAGATTCTAGTCTAACCAATATTAATGGATATTTATGTTATTTATGCCTATATAAAATACATTTAAATAAGAACAAGCTGCATTTTTCTTAGACTAGAATCTAAAGTTCCCTCCAAATCATCATGTCTAAAAGATGTAACTATATACTACTTATTTTGATAATTACTGGTTATCATTAACTAAGTTTAGTAATACTAATTAATTTAATTAACTGGTCTTCATAACAAATGAAAATGTCTTGTAATTTATAGTCTTACACATAATATTTGGTCAAAGACATTTGTCAGCATGATTTATTAGACTGATGTTGGTTTCGAATGTTTGTTTATGTTTGCCGAATAAAATATATTAATATATTGATAACATTGTATTATATAGTTATATTGATGAAATTATATTTTTAGAAATAATTATCTGTGGTTTCATTTTTAGAAACTTTTATTTTACTTGAATGTATGTCAAAATTTGCAACTCAATTTTTTTGCGTATAGGTAAAATTTCAGCTTAATCAGTTGAGAATAACTATATGGTTTCGGAGGAGGAAATATGATTTAGCTAGGTTTCATTTAAATAAACTTCATAATAAGTTTTTAAATATAATTACTTATAGAATGAGTAGGTTTTTAACAATTTCCCGTTAGATCTGCATTTGCCATGACTGTCCACAAACCCCAAAGAAAAACATTCGTATCAGTTGGGGTAGTATAAAGTCCAGCCGAATTTTTATGCGTGGCATATTTTAAGTAGCATTTTCTAGAGTTTACAACTGCGTTGAAAAATTACCTTCCAAATGAAAAACTTTGATATACCCACAATATAATTAAAGAATATAAACATTATATAAAACAAAATTCCGTTTCAAAAATACAATAGCATCATCTAGCGAGGGAAAGCAAATTTGATTCAAAATTGAAAAGGAAAGTGACATTATTTGATACAAATTAAAAAAACAATAATGACTACAAACATTAACAAAAAATTAAAATCCCGTTTTAAAAATACTTTAAGATTTAGATTTTTTGTCAACTTATTTTTTTGTTATTGTAATAAAAGTACCTGAATGATCCCGAGCTTGGCTCGTCTTTTTTTTTGGTAAATCGCGTTTATATATAATTTATGAAAATTATATTTAAATAACCAGTTCATATTTTTTGTCGGTAAGAAGAATAAATATCACTCATATTATTATCAGTACTATGAAATTAACTAAAAAACACAATTTACAAAAAAGGACGAGTAAAGCTCAGTCATGCAGGTTATCTTTTAAATCAAATATAGCGGATGGCGATATATTTATTTTTGTTACCTTTTAAATTTGGGTATGATATGTTTCTGAGGTATTTCTATGGAAATACGCTTGTGCTTGAAAAATCTGTTAGATTCTGGGTGGCTCAGTGGTTAGAGTAGTCAGCCGAATTGCAAAAGCTCGAGTTTGAATCCCATCTCATTAAGAATATATATATTTTTTGTGTTGAATAGATCTTTTATCGAGGAAGGGTATAGTAGCCTATATATGACTAATATGAGTGGAGCTGTAATGAAAAATATTGCAGAAACGGGATAAGATTTTTCTTTTTAAGAGCTTTCTTTGTGTGCGCTGCGTAAACAGTGAAAATACGCAAATACAATGTATTACAAAATAATTCCCCTTTAATGGTTTTAAAAAAAGTCTAGTAGCACATAAAGGGATGAAAATGGGAGTGCTTTGATTGTGGAAATTCTTATGAGGCATTAAAATGTTACCATAGTGACCATTTTTTACTATTCAATTTGTCATTGTAAAATTCCATATCATAATTTCTTAAATTATATAAATAGTAATAGTAATAGGCCTCATCTGAATATTTATTGATAATTTCTTAAATTATGTAAGCTGTTTACGCAGGATTGAATATTTTTTTATGATACTTACATATCTATACAATCGTTGAATTTGATTTAGATGTCCTTTTAGATTTATATTTTTTCCGATGTTTATCAAACAAAGTAAAGTTTCGGCGAAAATATAAAACTTCCCTAGATTACGAATATATTTTTAAAACGGGATTTTGATTGTTTGTTGTTTTTATTTTTTCCGACTTTTATCTATCAAAGTCGCTTTCGATTTCAAGTGTGCGGTTTATTTTTATCGATTTTAATCTATCAAAGTCGCTTTTGTTTTCAATTTTGCGGTTTTTAAATAATAAGATTTACAGATAATTATTGATTGGGCGGAAACATAAATTTATGGGTGACTAACGACATACTTTAATATTTAACCGAGGGCTGTTAAATTATGTTTGCGAAAAATGTACCAAACTGTAACTAAATATCTAAAAAATAAGTGAAATCAGCTACTTATGGTAAGAAACAGTTTTGTCTAAACTAGCAATTAAAATTCGAAATATCAGATAAATATAAAATTGGGAGAAAAGAATACTGAGTGGACGAAACAACATTTGTTCGATAGCTATACATTGAAGAGGTGGCAGAATATCCGTTGGCAAAATTTAATTTGGCGGCATGCACTAGAATCTCTCAAAAAGCAAGAACAAGCTGTCCGTCAAGTTGATTTGAGGAGCGCTCATAGAGCCTTGCACAAGCAAAGCATCGGGCTGTTTTAAGTCCTTAAAATGTAAGTCCAGAACAAGCACAGTAGTCAAATATATAGTAGAAAAACGACGTAATTATTAAACTACTCCAATTAAAGGACTATTTTTTCAAAGAAAACGTTTGTGTTTTTTTTGCTATGCGTGTTCATTTTACGCACTAAAATAGAAAGAACTTGCAATGAACTATTCTAGACATGCACGTTCTCCACAGATACACTGGTAAATTTTCCTTATTTAGTTCCATCTATTTGGCAGGTCTATGCCCCAGCAATGAGGACGTCGAGCGATAAGCTAGTAATGATAATGCGTATAAAGGTGGATTCTCACTGGCAGATTTTTAATGAAGATTATAGCAGGCCAGTATGCACACAGTACTTTCGGACTACGGGGACGAAGCTGCGGATTATAGCTAATTATGCTATAATTTCCTACTCTTATTATTACGATAGTGTATTACATCGATTACTATATATTTGTCAATATAATATATTCTATAGTTTTTCTTATTATTATGGTTTGGTCCACTAATGATTATATCTGTTGTACTGTACTTTACTGTAGCACATTCATGCAAAATAAACTATTATTATTGTTTCTTGTTTTGGGCCCGAATAAGATAAATTGTATT